ATTCCTTTAAGGTGATAAAAAGGTTGACGCATCTAAAGCATACAACCACGGCCACATTGAATCAACTGAACGTGATGGCAAGCGTCAATCATCGAAAGCATACAAACACGGCCACATTGAATCAATTGAACGTTATGGCAAGCGTCAATCATGGGAAGGACACAAACACGGCCACACTGAATCAACTGAACGTGATGGCAAACGTCAATCATGGGAAGGACGCAAACACGGCCGCGGTGAATCAACTGAACGCGATGAAAAGCGTGAACCATCGAATGCACACAAACACGCCCGCGCTCAATCATCTGAAAGTGATGAAAAGGGTGAATCATCGAAAGCACGCAATCAAGGTGAAGCTGCAACAAAATCAGGATCAGCTGACAGCGGGAAAAACGGCGTATCAGTGAAAGCACGAAAGCAAGGTAGAGCTGCAACAAAATCTGAATCGGCTGACAATTGGGAAACGGGTGCATCAACTAAAGCAACCACACAACCTCGTGTTACAACGAAGACTGCATCAACCAAAGGAACCACACAAGCTGTTGTTACAACGAAGGCTGCAACAACCAAACGAACCACACAAGCTGAAGCTACAGCAAAATCTGCATCGGCTGAAAGTGCAAAGAAAGTATTTGGTAAGTGGCGCTAATTCAGTTAGATTCGTAGAATGTTTCTAAAAGTACAACGGTTCGGAAAAACAAAAATAGCATCATGTGGGCTGGAATTAGGCGCCTGAGTAGTATTTTGGTAGTCTGTTGGATTGAATTACAACAGATTGATGGTAGACGTTGTGCATTGTGGAGGGCTCGTTTGTCATAATAATATTCGGAGAATGCTGTCGGAAATGAATATATGTAGAATAATTTAACAACTAGCTGCTCTAAAGTGTCATGTGAGATTTATGCTCTAGAAGGAAATTTTTCGAAGAAAAATTGTTAAAAACTCGACTGTTTTGAATAGTTTTCTCATCTTTCTGTAAGAGATTGAATGAAGTTAGCCATGCGCTACACGGAGTCTTCCTCCTGAGCGTTGGCAGGTACGCTTCTAAAATAGGTGGCATTAGTTACTGTAGTTGAACCTATTAAGAAAAATGTGGGTTTACTGGTTTTCAAAATAAAAATAAATTGTTGATCTACTTTTGAGTAAAGCATTGAGAATCTACTTCTGTTGCAGTTACGAGACAGGCTCTATTATATGTTGATATCGAAATAATTGTTTAGTACTGTGTCGTTAGAGTTCAACGCTCAGTTGAGTTAGGTGTTGGAAATGCAGCAAATACAGCCGAGGAACTGTTGAGTTTATATAGTCGCTGATCGAAAGAGAATTCCCGATGTATTATAATATTTTACGCGGATGTGGTCATGATAGTAGTCTCATGAATCATAGTCAATTGGAAGCAAATCAATGTCACTGAACTTAGACCTCCACACTTCGCTATTGACGATGATGTCGGGTAATTCAATATTCTAGTGATTAGTGACACTGAGGCTATCGGAGTTCAGGAAACTAACTCCCATTATTCTTAGAAGTATAACACGAGGATTGAATGTGTGATGAATATTGTTGTGCTAGGACAAGATTGGTGTGTGTCAATCTATATAGTTGTCTTTATTAGGCGAATTTCTTTTCTCAAATGATATTTTCAACTTTTCTGTTAACAGCCAGCAACAATCAGTTTTGGTTTGAGAGTAGAATCAATATTGCGTGGTAGTAGGTTCACACTCTAAAAAAAATTGGGTATTTGTCACTATCGGAAACTCTTTTAGGGTTTCCGAGCAATTAAAAAACCCTTTTCTAGGTTTCCGAACAGCTCGGAAACCCTAAAAGAGTTTCCGATAGTAACAAATACCCAATTTTTTTTTAGAGTGCAGTCTTATTTGTTCTTTCAATTGAGAATTTGTATGTTTTTGAAGCTCCTAATAATTATTTGACATTTCGTTGTCGCCCGGCGGTTTGCGTACGAAATTTATTATGATATTTATTTACTTACATTTTGAACATCTAAACCTATGGAAGCTCAGAGTTTTGGAGGGACGACAATAATGAGAAAATGTAGGGGCATTGAAAACGTTTTACCATATCTCTCATTATTTTAACAGTAATGATATGATTGTGGAACATAAAGCAAATGTGAGCAATAGAGAATTTTGTGAAACACGACCTGAAAAGAGTGTTGAAGTGTTTAGGGTAAAACTTTTGCACCCCCGCCCACAGACCGTTACCGATAGGTAATTTTCCCGAGTAGTGGACGATGGGACCAATTGATCGGGAGATGGTCACATTTTCAGCAGAAATGAACCACCCCACATAAAGTCATACGTTTTAAGGAGAAATGGAAAAGAAAGAATATATATATGCCGGGTGTTCCAAAAGTTCCTTTAAATAAAAACATTTAATATCTCCAGCGCTCTTTCATCAAATGAGCTCATTCTTTTCCTGGTGGTGGAGGATACTTTGAAGTTTTTTTTTCATTGGAAAACTATGAATAGATACTGCTTTGAACTGTCACTTTTAACTTGAATATTGAAATGTATCCATTTTCGATTTCTAAAAAAATGCTTTCGAGGGAGAATCCTTGAGATCATTAAAAGCTTTTGAGTGATTAGAAGCCTTTGCGACCATATTTTTCCCATTGCTCGATGACCACTGGACAATAATGACTTCCAAAAGGTTCATGCTCTTGTGGAGTTTTGGATGAGATATGGAATTTTTAGTGACTTATCTCTTCGATGACCCCAATTTTTCGAAGAAAATTATAGTTTAGAATTTTGACCTGAAACTTTGGCCAAAATGAGGTTTCACTTAGAGTAGCTTCTGTACAAAATTTCAGAATTTTTGACTATAGTTGTTCCGAGATATGAATTTTTCAAATTCTGCACAATATCAACGGAACAGCGCCTAAATTTGTAAAAATTCATATCTCGGAAAGGCCATATACGAAAATCCTGAAATTTCTTACAGAAGCTAGTCTGAGTGAGACCTCGCTTTGGTCAAAGTTTCTGGCCGAAATTAATAATCTCGAAAAATTTCCTTTGAATATTCTTTTTGGAAAATCAAAAATTGGTACATTTCGATACTCAAGTCAAAAGCGATAGTTCAAAGCAGTATCTATTTATAGTTTTCTAATGAAAAAAAACCTTCAAAGTATCCTCCACCACCGGGAAAAAATGAGCTCATTTGATGAAAGAGCGGCGGAGATATTAAACTTTTTTAATTAAAGAAACCTTTGGAACACCCAGTATACATATATCTTTAAGATTCACTATTTTTCAAAGAAAATTGTTTCAAGCAGAAGTCTATAATTTATATAGGGGAATGCTTTCAACAAGGAGAAATCGAAAATAAAGAATCTATATGCAAATATATATATAGATAAATGTCATAAGTCCACACAAAATTGAAGTTATCTTGGTCTAACTTTCCTTTATAAATTTATTCGATATTTATCTCTTTAAATCACTTTAGTCCATTTCGATCATTTTAGTCATTTTAGCCTCTTGAATATCTTTTTAGATCTAAAGCGATCAAAACGGACTAAAAGAAGTAAAGGAAGTAATAGGGCTAAAGGAATCTAAAGGATAATGAGGGTTTATATTTGTAAAGAAAAGCTAGACCAGGATAACTTCAATTTCTTATGGATCCCTCATAGAAAAATCTTTTCATTACAGCCCCACTCGGGCTAAAATAAGGAACTCGCATATTTAAAATCACTTAGCAACTGACCACATAGAACGTTTTATTTATTTTTTAATAGAATGAACTTCATGGCTGTTTTAGAAATACGATGGAGAAAACAATAAAAATACTTGAATAAGTGAAAACGCAGAATTTCTTTCATTTAAATAACTTTTAAATACTTCTGAAATTTTCTAACTACAAAAACGCCTACAGATAAGTTACAGTTTGATAAAGTTTTATTTTTTGAAGCTGTTGATATATAAAAATATTAATAAGAAGTATGAAATATTTCTTTTTTTGATCTTGAAGTACAATAAATATGAAATCAATTTTACACTTAAAAATTGTTTTACTATTAGTAAATAGAATATATTGCTTCGGTAAATTGTTTTCGTTCCCTCTCTTTTAGTATCATAAAATTTTTAAAATATTTTCACTAAACGAATTCTTTTTCTCGTTCATATTTTATTTCAATTAATATCTCTCGTATAATGATTGAATTATATCTTTATTTTGTGAAACACGATCTGAAAGGAGTGTTGAAGTATATAGGGTAGAAATTTAGACCCCCCCCAGACCATTCCAGAGAAATTAATTAATCAACTAATTGGTTAATTAATCAATTTATTATTATTAAATTTCTCTGTAACGGTCTGTGATGATTTCTAGAGACTTCATACATCATAATACAGACCGTGACACAGAAGCTTCACAGACCATCAGTGACCGTGATAGACGAATTCCAGAAAAGAAGTTTCATCGTGTTTCACACTTTAATCCCACAGGGATTCCGCTAACAGCTTTTTATACAGAAACACAGAAAATCATCTTTGAAGACAACGTTTAATTTCGCAAGATATAAAAAAATACGCCGAACCTATATTTGGTTTTGGAAGATTATTGTTAAAAATTCATCAGTTAGTTTGAAAATATGTTCAAGATTCTTCTTCTAATGATGATTAACAGTTTACTGATGTGATTATAATTTAGTTAAATATTTCAGCAAACAATTAAAGGCTATTTCGATTTCAAGTTGATTGAAATGATTATAGTAGTAACGATAGTTTTTGTTTGCTGCTGAATTATAAATCCTGGTATATAGTTTCACTACGGCTTGGAATTCAAGAACTCTTAGCCAACCTAGGAAATCTCAAGCAGAAAAATGTCGTCCAGGCAAAAATTATTTTCTTTTCATTCTGTTTATGTAAGATGATCAAAGATATACACGTACCTATACATGTTTGCGTTCTAAACATATATCGAGATATTCAATACCTATGACTAGAAATAAAGAAAATACGCCTTTCAATATTGTCTTCTATCCTTTCTATTAATAAATGTAAATTCTTTGTCCCCGTTTTGACGCGTTTTTCCTCTGCCATATTATTATCTATACCACTATTTCCATTCTGTCGAAGAAAAGAAAATTCTGATTGAATAATATTTCTTCACAAGCCCTGGATAAAACATCGCAACATGTAAGAAATAAAAAATTCACACCATCCTTAACTTAAACCGAACGAAAGTCTTTTTAATAGCACTCGTAACCGTAACATGTGCATAAAAAAAAGTCTGCAAATGAAGGAATTTTCTTATTCCATAAAACTGTATTACTCCACTGAAAACTAATACAACAATCATAGCAATCATGACAATCATCAGCTACATATTTTCCGCTTCAAGACAACCTGCCCTCCGCAATTATTCCGCACTTACCCACGATATTTCTCAAGAGCGCCTCCATTTTCAGTTACAGAAACATAATCTCAGCATAAGATTAACTGTTGGATTCCACATATGACTTATTCATTTCACGTTCAAAATAAACCATTTCTATTAAAAACATTCATCTCTTCGTGAGAAATTCCCTTATAGTGAGAAAAAGCTTATTAGCGCAGCCACTCCGGGGCTAAAATGTGGAACTCACATATATCCCTTAGGCTCACTAAAATTATTCAAAATAGTTCATCTGAAAAATCTACCTTGATTTCCAAAACTTATAATTTCGTTATTGTCTAATTGCTGATGTGTGTAATGGAATATTAATTGTTAGCGCGTATATTTAACAATGGCAGAGACTAGTTTCTATGGCGTGTAATGGTACCATAAGTTAGCCACTATGATCTGTAATTAAAAAAGAAAGAAGTAGCAACCTAATTAGTGAAGCTGCTAATTAGCACAATGTCAAACTCATTAATGTCTGTAATGGGGAGAAGGGATTGGAAAGCCACACGAATCTCGCTTTTAAACTTACACTCACCATTCCCTTCGAAAATATATGTGAGTTCCGCAAAAATAAATGCTTTCTGTAGATAATTGATGGATTTCTCCTTGAATTTGTTAGGGGTAAAGTATTTCTGCTAGTTATTGAACCATTTCGCGATTTTGCGGGGTGTTGTTCACTCCTCACTTTCCCTTCACAGACCGTTATGGTGACCGCACACATCGTCGCATGACATTTCGTTGCGTTCACTTCGTCACAGATAAATTTCTTTCGCTATGCTCAGCTCTATCCATTCATTGCATCTTCTCTCTTAATTAATTATTCTTTTTATTGAAAGATAAATAATTGATGAATTAATATTTGTTGATTTTGTGAATAATACATAACGTAGTAATGAACAAATTGAGAAAAAAAAGAAGAAAAGAAAATAATCTAAAGAAAAACAATAATTTAAAGAAAAGAAAATACCTAAATAGCAGTGTTAGCTGCCATTTTTTTAAAAATTGATCCAGTTGAGTTGGGTCGAATGAGTTGGCCAGTCGAGTAATACGCTCGTCGAATTTTCGATAGCAGGCTTTCTTCGTCTTGATATCGTGGCCTGGAAGAATCTTCATCATATCCACTTCACATTTTGATTGTTCACGACGAATTTTCTCTCCAAGTTTCACGATAGTTGGATGACTTATTGCGACGTGATTAGTGAAAGCATTGTGTCAGCCTTCAACCGAATTATTGGGTCGAGGTACAGTAGCGACGACACGATCATGAATATTCTATAATTTGTGATCGAATTGAGGCTTCTTTCGACCAGTTCCTAAGAAAGACAAGTATATTTGAAACTTCTTAAAAATAGAGAAAAATACTCGCCACTTATTTTCGGCTCACCAATGCATGTTTTTTCAAAATACTCGAGTAAATCGTCGGCGTCATCGTCGAATTGATCACAAATCAAGTCGAAGCCGGTTATAATTTAATCTAGTGAAACAAAAGCGAGAGCAATTAATTGTTTTACATTTAAACGAAAAACCTCATCCTCGTTATATTTGGTTGTTAATCCTTTGCGTTGAACTTGTCGCCATACCGCTTGTGAAAAATGAAAGAGACATCCTATAAAAAAAACGTTTCAATTACTTTTTTCTCATAAATTAGAACTTACCTTTGTGTAGAATAGTTGACAACAAATCTTTGACTGACTGGATTGTGCCAGTTTCGAAATCAGTCATATTTGATTCAGGTTGAAAGTTGTCTTGTTTTAACACTTTTTCGAAGAATAAATTATAATCTTCAGCGCTGTTACCAATTAATAATCCATAGACGAGAGGAATAATTGCATCGATCATCATCGCATGTAGTATGAAGAGTTGGTAATAATCGTCGGGACACATCTACATGAAAGAAAACTAGAAAGAAAAGGAAAATTTTGATTGATAATTTACTTTGAACGTTCCGTCAGTGCACCAATGTTTGTTTTGCTTCAGAATAGATAAATTAGTTTTCTTTGTAAATATAATTAGTTTTTTGTCTTGGTGCAAGATGAAGCCTTCGCCACGATATTTTTTCTCAATTTTTCTGGTAAACGACCAATCAGCACCAACCGTTTCAGTAGTACGTTGTCGTTGAATCATTAGCATAAGTGATTCATTTTTTGGAAGTTGACCAGCAGCACCGAGTGGATAGGCACGTAAGGCCGAATGAATAATTGTACTGGTTGGTTCATCTGTTATTGCAGCATGCGCCTCAATTTCAATTTTTACTTGGATAGCTGGAATACTATCAGGTTGTAGAGCATGACAATGTGATGTTGGTAGTAGGGGTGGGCCATTAACATTAATTTTATATTAATGTTAATGTTTCTCATTAACCATTAATCTTAATGGTTAATGTTTTCTAAGAAAACATTAGCTATTAAGATCAGTTAATTGATTAATAATTGTAGATAATGTTTCCTTAGAAAAGCCTAATTCAATAATATGGAAAAATTAATGTTTTCATGAAAACATTAACATTAATATTAATGATTAATGAAAATATAATCCCTAATATTAACGAAAACATTACTATTCATACTAATGGTGAATGTTTCCTTTAACCGTTAATATCATTCAAGAACATTGACATTAATATTAATGATTAATGAAAACATTAATTTTAAAATTAATGTTAATGTTTTTCATTAATCATTAATATTAATGAATTAAGTTTTTCTTAGAAAACATTAACCATTAAGATTAATGGCTAATGGAAGTCATTAATTAATGTCATTAATTAAGTTCCGTTAAAAAAAATGGTCCACCCCTAATCTCGATATATGCTTAGAACGGAAGCATGTATATCTTTGATCGTCTTACATAAACAGAATGAGAAGAAAATAATTTTTTCCTGGACGACACTTTTCTGCTTGAGATTTCTTAGATTTGCTAAGAGTTCTTGAATTCTAAATCGTAGAAAAACTATATATTAGGATGTATAATTCAGCAGCAAACAATAACTATCGTTACTATTATAATCATTTCAATCAACTTGAAATCGAAGTAGCATTTAATTGTTTCAGAAATATTTAACTAAATTATATAATCACATCACTAAATTGTTTACCATCATGGGAAGAAGAATCTTGAACATATTTTCAAACTAACTGATGAGTTTTTAAAAATAATCTAGCAAACTCTAACATACGGTCAGTGTATTTTTCTATATCCTGCGAAATTATACTTTGCTTTCAAATATGATTTTCTGTGTTTCTGTATAAAAATAAAGATATAATTCAATCATTACAAGAGAGATATTAATTAAAATAAAATATAAACTAGAATAATAATTGGTTTAGTGAAATTTTTTAAAATTTTATCAGACTAAAAGCGAGGGAACAAAAAAATTTACGGAAGTAATATATTCTATTTACTAATAGTAAAACAATTTTTAAGAATAAAATTGATTCCCTATTTATTTTACTTCAAGATCAAAAAAAAGATTTCATATTTCTTATTAATATTCTTGTATACCAATAGCTTCAAAAAATAAAACTTTATCGAACTATAACTTATCTGTAGGCGTTTTTCTAGTTAGAAAATTTCAGAAGTATTTAAAATTTATTTAAATGAAAGAAATTCTGCGTTTTCACTTATTCAGGTATTTTTATTGTTTTCTCCCTTCTATTTCTAAAACAACTATGAAGCTCATTCTATTAAAAAAAATAAAACTCTATGTGGTCAGTTTCTAAGTGATTTGTAATATGCAAGTTCCACATTTTAATCCGAGTGGGGCTGTGCTGAAAAGCTTTTTCTATGATGGGTCCATAAGAAATTAAAATTATCCTGGTCTAACTATTCTTTACAAATATAAACCCTCATCATCCTTTAATCCCTTTAACCCTCATTATCCTTTAGATTCCTTCAAACCCTTTAACCCTCACTGTCCGTTAGATTCCTTTAATCCCTTTAACCCTCATTATCCTTTAGATTCCTTTAATCCGTTTAGCCCTATTACTCCTTTAGTCTCTTTAGCCCTTCTACTACATTTAGTTCTTTTAGTCCCTGTTGATCACTTTAGATCTAAAAAGGTATTCAAGAGGCTAAAATGACCAAAGTGACCTAAAGAGATCAAACTGATAAATATCGCATATATTTATAAAGGAAAGTTAGACCAGGATAACTTCAATTTCTTGTGGACCTATGACATATATATATTCTTTCTTTTTCATTTCTACTTAAAACGTATGACTTTATGTGGGTGGTCCATTTCTGCTGAAAATGTGACTGTGCCGATATAAGCACTCGTTCTATCCTAATCAATATACATAACGACTTTCTCCTCATTGTTATGTGCATTCTCTCTTCCTCATTGTCGTGTTCTTCCTCGTTCTCTCCGGTGGAATGAAGCGCCCCAGAGAAAGAAAGTGTAACTATAAAAGGAGAAGGATGATTGGAATAAAAAAGGTTGATATCACGATAAAACATGAGGGTGTGGGTGTGGGTGCTTGTGGGTCTGGGTCTAGCTCCCGGTCTGTGCCTGGGTGTGGATGTTAGTATGGAGGAAAGAACAGCACCCACACCCACACATGTTAGCTCTTGTTTAGCGATATAACGATAGAGCTGGTATTTTACTGTATATATATGTAAATGAGGAGCTTACATAAATTGATTGGTATGTAGCTGTTGTTCAATGTATATGTATGTATATAAATATAAGCGTGTTTAAGTGTATATATAAATATATATATATATATATATATATATATATTATAATGATAATAATGTTAAAGCAGTTAATAACAAATATCAAGTTGTAAGTAGAGAAAAAGAGCAACGAATGACAAAAGTGGGGAAAATAGTATATATATATATATAATAGAAAATCAATCACGCGAGTCGATTTATCCGACAAATTACGTAATAGATCAAACGATATTAAAGAAACATGCACTTATGTAAACAGTCTAGTGGCAGTTAACGACATCTACTAACGCTAACAACACCCACACCCACACCCTCAACACATTGATCAACGCCAGTAAAAGGTTGTACTGTCACGAAAATTTTTCGAAGCTCTGCCAGCGACTTTTGAGAATCTTCCATTCCTTCAGCAATATTAGCATCGAGCCATACTAAAAGGAAATTTTGCACGATTCTTCTTGGTCGTGCTCGAAAATCTTCAGAGGAAGTTTCAACAGTGGCGCTATTAATGGCTTGTTTTGATACTACTGAAAACACATTTGCACTGTATTCGGCACAAGTTGCGCTGCTAGCTGTGGAGGATTTGCTTTTATCCATCTTGTATGTATTTGAGAGCCTTTTGCTAATNTGCGTTGGAGTGTGAGGTTTTTTTCAGATATGTTTGCAATGACTTGTAAATTGTATTTATCGTTAACAAAATTGATTGCTTTTTTTACCACTTACTTTTCTTTGCTTGAATCAATGAACCATGTATTTCAGTAAGAAAACAGTGTTTTTTTCATATATGCGCTCGTCACTGTGTATCTTTTTCTCTTTCAATCTTCTAACTATTGTTTTCGCTTTTCTGTACCCAGGCAGATTTGACCTTCAAAAAAACGCGTTAAAATTTCGTAAAAACGTCATTTTTACGATTTTTAGTGCGTATAAACGCGTTAACGATGGTGAACCCGTTAAAATGCGTACAATTTTTTCGGAATTTACGCGTTTTTTCTCGTCATTTATCATTTCGAATGAAACATAGCAGCTCTACTTTTTCATTTTTGTTATTTCTGTAGCTATCTGTTTTGTTTCCGTAAATCGTTCAATCAGTCATATATTGTCTACTTAATAATGCCATTTTTTACATTCTCTCATATCAGCAATCCGTTTTTTTCCCGTAGCTTTTTCATTTTCCTTCAGTGCAGAATACTAGCAATTTTTTAGAACTTATTGAATCTTCCCTTCGTATAGTCAGTTAAGAGCGCATGCCGGTGTTAGATCGGTACCCTTATACGAGTAACTTGATAATGTTCAGTCTTTTAATTTTTAATCGTTCCATTGAGATTCTTGACTCTAATGTAGGTAAAACCAGTGCTTTTTATTTCGATCTAGTTCAACAACCAGAGTTCAATTGTATGCATGAAATTATAACATACAATTATTTTTCTAGATTAAGTTCAACAATTGATTCAATCCAATCGTAAGTATGACTTTATAAATTAAAATTACGTTTTCTTTAGATTTAACACAAAAAGCTAATTCAATTGTAAGTATGAAATGATAAAATAATTTTTTTTAATTTTATTTAGAGTTGAATCAACAATTGATTCAATAGTAAGTATGAAATTCTAACATTAAATTGTTTTATTTTTATACAGATTTGCTATTACATTTGATTTAATCGTAGCATAACGATTAAATCAGGTGTTATGCCAAATCTGAATAAAAGTTAAATAGTTTAATGGTAGAAATTCATATCTACGATTGTATCTCAGGCAAAAAAAAGCGTAAAAACGCGTAAAGTTTTTTTTTAATGTTTGACTGACTGGGTAGGTCAGTGTTCCTAATAGGAATCTGAAATAGAATATACAAATACACTACGCTAGTTTTGAGCATCATGGTTTCGTACACTTTGTTTCAAGCAAGGGTGTCACATTTAAATTTTAAAAAATTTAAATTTAAATTAAATTGTTTGAAATTCAAATTAGTTAAATTTTGAAAACTAGCAGATAAGCGTAATTTTTGACTTGATTGCTACGATTTAAAGTCAAATTTGAGTATGTTTCCTGTTTTTTAAAGTTAAAACTAGCAATTCCTCTATGAATTGTGCTATTAAATATATTTTTATGAGTATCCCAGTATTGTGAAGAAGAAAGATGACGGGTCCTGCATAATCTGTAGAGAAATTTTGACTATTATGAATAAATATTAACCTAAAATATAAGGTTTTTTCTCTCATTTAGTATTTACAACTGTTAAAGTCACATATTTCTCTCGTAGCAATGATGTGTATCCATCCAAGCAATTTATTAAGTTTAAAATTTGAATTTAAAAAAATTTATTAAATCAAGAAATAAATTTTCAAAAATTTAATTTAAATTTTTGTATCAGGAAAATTTTAATTTATTTTAAATTTAACTTGATAGAATTTAATTTAAAATTAAATTAACTTTTCACGAAGTTAAATTTAAATTAAATAAACTGTAAATTGACACCCCTAGTTTCAAGGATCAAAGTGTAAAAAGTATATAAGACGCTAGAAAGTGGATTGCTAGCCATATAAGAAAACTTCTACAGCAGTGTCCAAGTTCCCAGGAGTCGGGAATTCGTTAGGAATTGGGAACGCAAAAATGAATGAACAGGAATAAGTGGTGATGATAAACCAAAGCATAGCAACGTTATGAGGGATTCCAAGGAACTCAAGGAACTCTGGGAAGTCAGGGAGCTCACAAATATGAGGGAAATAAGAGCCTGGGCTCAATTCGTTCGGGTTGGACCATCAATATATCGAGTACTATACTTAATTGGCATGATACCTAATCGCGATAATGGACATAATTCAGTGAGGGCATATCCATTGGCATAATAGATATATGAGGTCACGATGGTGAAATGAGCAAATTTTCTGTTCGCTTAAGAATGAGTTCTGATAGTTTAGAGTGATTGTTTATTATGCTTTGATAAATTTATACGTTGAATAAAAGTGGAATTTGGGAGCTTCGGATCGTTCGGCTTCGACGATAGTGGGATATAGGAGAATCGGGTTTGGTGAAAAAGGCAGAAAGGGAAAATGCCGAAAAGGAAAACATAGAAGGGGAAAATGCAGAAATTCTAAACATCGAAAGAAAAAGTTAGAAAAAGGAAAGCATCGAAAGGTAAATGCCGAAAATTGCGTTTTTTGATAATTTTAACGAAAAAGAAAAATTTATTCGATCATATGATAAAATACAATAAAAAAAAAAGAAAAATAAGTTTTTCAGTATTATTTTCTTTTTTTGTGTGATCCAAGTAGTAATGCTAATCCCTTCAATAATTGCTTTGCATTGATTACCAAATCAAAACAAAAAATTTTCGTTATCTATAGACATGCTTTTCATTCGACGTTTTCCATTCGACGTTTTCCTCTTCGACGTTTTTACATTCTGCAATTTCCAGCTTCGACGTTTTCTTTTTAGGCGTTTTTCCTTTCTGCCTTTTCCGCCAATTCCGGAGAATCATAATTGATGGTATCATTCAGTTTTCAAGTGACGAAAATATTCTATCTATGAAACGTTTCTGGATGCTTATATGGGTAGATAAATAGGTAAATCAGGCTATCTATCTATCCAGATAGCAATTAACAGCGGGCAATATCTAAATATATATCTGTTTGTTTAGCTATTCCTCTAATGGTGTTGCAACTATTGATAATATTCACATTTACAGAGGAACACACAAATCTAGTTATGACAGTCGGTGTCAAGAAAGGACTGACAGCCTCAGCGGGACTCACAGTACAACATCATAAGTGAGGGTGTCGCGACAGGATTGATAGCCTCAGTGAGATTCATGATAGAACAAATTGACAGTGACGTTCAATTTGCCGTGTTTAAGTCTAGTACCCATGTGCTTGAAGCAAAATGAAATTGGTGGAAACTTGTGAAACCTATTGAATCGGTTGGTGATAATCAGAGAAAAGCCGCGATGAGTCTCTTGTAGTGGAAAGTTGTCAAGTATGTGGGAAATGATGTTATTATTACTGTGTCAAAGATATGGTTGTTCTCTAACACACCAAATTGGGTGTGGGTGAAACAGTTAGAATAGCAACACCCACATCCATAGCCTCAAGAAAAAGAAATGAACGCTCAACATTGCTCTCGCTGTAGCGACTGCCATAAAAGCATGAATTTCAACCTTCAAAGTAGCGAAAGCGGTAATGCTACGAACAAACAACCCGTAGCGAAAATTTTAATCTTCTAGACCACATCAGATCTCTTAATTTGTGCAAAGCATACGAAATTCTTGCACAATAACTTACCTGATAAAGCTTGCTTCATGCAATCAGAATTTGATTGATAACGTCAGTGGAACAACACAATGCATTTTCGCACGTGAATCTTTTCTTTACAGCAAAATGTTTTCATTTCACATGCTTTCAGCTCAAAATTGATCCTATCGACCGGTCAGGAAACCATTGCTTTCCCAGAGTTCCTTGGAGTCCATAACTTCCCTGGGTTCCCTGGCTTCCCTGAGATGCTTCACGCGTTGTGGTTTCACATCGCTCGTTGTCGCTTATTTATTTTTGAGTTCCCAATTTCCGAAGAGTTCCCGACTACTGGGAACTTGGCCACGTCTCTTTTTCTTACTTCTAACATAGACGATGTTATGATGCCTCTACCTTTTTTTTCCGATTGGATGAAACACAAGGTTTCGATCACCCAGTATATATATTTCTTTTAATCATAAAGGCATGCAAATTTTCGTAACAGTTACTGTGTAAATTCTGTTTCGTTAGGGTTCGATACACTTTGTTTTGCTGGGTACACTCTTTCATTAGGAACGCTGCTTGTCGCAGATAAAGTTCTATATGCTACTAATTCCTCACCTTAAAAAATGTATTCTCTTACAATAATACGACACTTTCTTAACAATACATTTATTTTTCAAGAAAAAAATAGAAGTGTCCATTTACAATTTATTTGTTTTTGATTTTAAATTACCCGAAAAGTAAAGTCAAATTTTTAATTAATTTAATTTTTTTGACTGAAAATGTACTTTAAATAAAGCGAAAATAGACTTTTGATCACCAAAACAAGAGACAATTGATCACCAAATTTATTTTGATTTAATAGATAGTGGATGTCAATATCAATTTGGTTAGATATGTATAAATCAAGTAAATGAACATCATTTGATGATTACGTTGCATAGAAATCCTCGCGTTTTTAGTGAAAAAAAATATCAAATTATTGGAGATTTTAGTAGATTATAATCGATTGAAATCTTCGAAATCAACGATAATTTGCTTTTTAATCGAACAGCAATCTTAAAAATTCGACAAAAATTTTGATTAAAATCGTATCAAATCCAGATTATATATATGAGTTTAATCAAGCATACATGATTTTAATATAAGTTTTACCGGATTTTGAAGATTATTGTTCGATTAAAAATCAAAGTATCGTTGATTTTGAAGATTTCAATCGATTATAATTCGGATTTTGGTGCAGAAAAATCCGATTATAATCTACTAACATCTCCAATAATTTCATATTTTTTTCACTGAAAACACGAGGATTCCGATGCAACGTAATCATCAAATGATGTTCATTTACTTGATTTATACATATCTAACCAAATTGATATTGACATCCACTATCTATTAAATCAAAATAAATTTGGTGATTTCGCCGTATCGAAAAGTTGTCTCCTTAAAGGACTTGAGCTGAGTTTCATTCAATAGCACACCATATCCAATATAGCAAATTGTCTTGAGACAAAGTGCCGTGCGACGAAGTGAGTGGTCACCCTAATCACAACAATACTTAATGAATGTTGTCATCAATCATAAAAGTCAACACCACTTTGATACACATAACGCGTTTAATTTTAATTTTTTTATCACAAAAAACTATTTTACGGTAAGGTACAATAATAAACCCTCTTTATTTAAATATACCCTTACTTACATAAACCCTTCAGGTAATAAACTCTTTAAAGGTTTAGTATTCTACGATTTTTTTTACAATGTACTCTAAAGAAATCTGAATTTGACTTCATCACGCCGAGTGAGATAGCATATCGCACTAACATTGAAACTTTTTCAATCAGCACATTAAAACTTTGGAGAAATGTCCGATTTTTTACATTTTTTAATAATCACTTCATTAACGGGTTAAAACGTGAAACATCGGATATTTCTCCAAAGTTTTATTGCGTTGCCTGAAAAACAATAGGGGTTGTTGTAACGCGTAAATTGATTATTTTTGACTGTTTGATTAGTGTCACACACACTCCTCACCCATCTTTCAATTTCTTCAGGCTTTTTCATTGCAAGCATTAGACGATTATCGCTTTTCTGTATTTGAAAATGGCACGTATTACTCAAACTAATGTTTTGGCAACGGGTGCTCTAAACGAAGTACGCATGATTTTACTTGGCAAAACAGGAACAGGTAAAAATTTACAACATTTTAAAGACCATCGACAGTTTCAAACATTCTAGGAAAGAGTGCATTTGGAAATACAATCCTTGGACAAGAAAGGTTTCATCATGAGGATGCTGCGGATTCGATTACAATAGAGTGTGCATCAGATATTCGAGAATTCGATGGAAAGCGACTCTTTGTTGTTGATACGCCGGGATTTCTAGATACAAATCAACCAGAGGAAGTATTACATGAAGAAATCGCGAAGTCATATCAAATGACAGCCAGACCAGGACCACATGTATTTTTGCTTGTCTTTGACATTAAGCAACGATATACGCCTGAACAATTTGCATCGGTGGAGTTACTTGATAAAATTTTTGGACCCAAAGCTGTTGACAATACAATTATTGTTTTTACTCATGTTGATGAGCTGAAACCGAAAGGAAAGACACTTGAGCAATATTTGGAAAAGTTAAAAGATGGACTATCGCATCCTCTAAACAAACTTCTCGATAAATTTCATCGACGCTATTTGGGGGTAAATAATTATGGATCACAGTCAGAAAAAGATGCCACAGCGAGAATTCTGCTTGATATGGTGAACAAGATGATGGTAGAAAACAAGGGTCAAGTATATACGAATGAACAATTTACGGATGTCGCAAAAGCAGTTGAAACTGAAATGTCTAAAGGAACCTACCAACCATACAAATCTGATGGGTCTTTTGCTTTACTTCCTCAAACAAAAGCAATAGTTATTGATGGTTATCTCCGCCGCATGTCTAGCCGAAAGACAAATTGAACATCTTTCTCTTAAACGTAATAAACGAATATTTGAGTTAAATTCTGCATCCGAACCGTAATTATCTGCAGAGTTGTCCTGTACAAAGATGTTAGTAAATTCTCAAAGCATTAAAAAGCAAAACATGATGAACCTAGAGTAGACGAAGACAAAAGTCCATACGAATCGATACATTTTGGCATGCCACTAAAAGTTTTCTTAATACTGTGTTTAGGGCTGTAAGTGCTTCAAAATATTCTCAAAATCTGGAGCTTTAAAAACCTGTACTGTTAAGATATAATAAAACTTGCGACCTACGCCTACGAAATTAGAAGACAAGTTTCTTTTTAATGAGAACATACCACTTGATATGAAATATATCATGATAGTTAAAGAGCTTAGATTAATGCAAAAAAAAATCAATAAAATGAACCAATTGTAGCAACACAATCTTCTGGCAATATAAGATTCTATGAGAATAACAACAACAACAATACTCTCGTTCAACTATCTGGCTGCTCTGGTAGTTTAAAGTAATATACATAAAATATGATTCATAGTATGGATTTCATCATTTCTTTTTTGTTTTGATTCATATCTGAAAGATTGTTGCTTGATGGATAACAGAAAAACAACAACAAAAAAAACAAGATCTCTAAAATGCACTACCACTGAGAGCACCTGTAGCTGCTTGTGGTCCCAAAAGAATCGATCGTTGTTCGTGACTGATTTGTTCCGCAATTTGTAATAATTCTTTTTGAATAAGAATTGGAAAAACGAGTACACACATACTTGAAGTAATCCTAAACATAAACGTTTGATTTTGAAGTAAAGAGAAAAAAACAAATTCGTATGCGTTAACACTTACCACCAAGCAGCTGAACGACCTTTATCATAAGCTAATTTTGATGTATTCAACAATGTACTATTTATTGTTCCTAGAGTATTTCGAATAGTTTCTGGAAACATTTCTTTTAATGCAATAATTCTTTCGAGTGCTGTTTCATCTTCAACGAAATCATCATCATCATCAGTAGCAGGAATCTCTTCGATGGACGATACGACAACAGAAGAACTAGTAGTAGGAACGATTGATTGTTGTTGAATCATTGCAATTAAATCTGGATCTATAGCTTCATCATTATCATCGTCATCATCATCATTCATTAACATCATTTCTGAGTTTGGTGAAGATTCTAAATTATCCAATGCTGATGAGAGAACTTCTTCTATAATTTCTTCGTCCATATTTCTTTATCTGAAATCTAAAATCGATCGTGTTCAAAATCAATAATTCTAATTTTCCCTATTGTTTTTGAAAACTATGTCAAAATATATATTTATAAACAGGATATAAAACTACTCTTCTCTCTCTCTCTCTCTCTCTCTCTAGATAAAATTATAAATAGAAAAATAAATGACTAAAGTAATTTTGAAACTTGTTCATCGACTTGAATTTTTTGTTTATCAATATAATCAATACTGTTGCGATCGATTTTATCGAAAGTATAATATCGATAATTCACCATCATCGATAAAGATTGTTTCCAACCACGTTCACTACGATCGGCTAACCAATTTAGACGCCAAACCACAGCACCATTACGTAAATGAAAGTTAGCTACAGGATCTCGCGCATAGCCTGTTTTCGAATGTTTGACTTGTGTTAAATAATATGCACAAAGACGCATTAATATTGGTCGAATTTCACCCAGAACTGTTTCATCTAAATGCCATGTTGATGTTGAAAAAAGTGAATGAAACCATGAACGAATTTCAGATGAAATAATGGATGTCGAAGAAGAATGCAGTTCTTCCAAAAGCCATTTACGAAAATCTAAATAAACGAGAATGTAAGTATGCAGATCTTTTTTTTTATGTCTTACCAGGAATTGGAGAAAGCGATGAAAATTTTTCCAATTCAGGATGTTCAGCTTGTAATTGGAGTACACAACGTTTAATCAATGCATTACCCAATTCAATACCTCGAAGACCTAAATACAAACCGGGAAAAACAAAATAGCTTGAATAAAAAGTTTCATTTTTGGCACTCACCTGGTTGAGTAGAAGAAATTGAATAAAAAATAGCTGAATTAATTAAAGATGGATCTTCGTGAAGAATTTCTTCAGTTACATCGGATACAGATTTAACACGATTTAAAACTAAATTTAAACAATAAAAATTGAAATAAAATTATATGAACTCAACGAACTTGTTTGAATAGAATTTGATATATTATCCACTAAACCAACATGCAGAATAACCAATGGATCATTGGGCATCATATGATGAGTATAAACAAAACATCGACTTAAAAATCAGAGATAATAGAAAGTAGAAATAATATAAAATAAAATGTCTTACCGGTACGGTCCCAAACGTCGTTTTAAATCGGTCCAATTTCGAATACGATGCACAGCTTCATACTCAGAGACACGCTGAACTAATAATTATATAGATAAAGCTTACATATCCTTTATGAACGAATAGACTATAGTTATTTTCTCGGAATGATCTCTCTAATTCTCGCTGAGAAAAATCTTACCAATTTCACAGGGACTTTGCCATGTAACACGTTCGACTTGAAGTAAACCTGTTGTGAACCATGTCGCTAATAAATCACGAAGACTTTCACTCATCCGTTCAACATATTCAGGTGACTCTAAAATAAACAAACAATCATTCTGCGATTCAGGAGCTTCTGGCAAACCGATTTCAGGTAGGAATTTAAGTATATCAGCACGTAAATGAACAAGTGAATGTACACCATCCGGCTGTCGTCCGATAAGACGAAATAATTCAGCATATTTTGGTTCTGTGTATGAATGAATGTTTTCGCAAGTTTGAATAAAATTTGAAGACGTCATTTTCTGAATCTTTAATAAAAAAAAGAAAATCGTCCAATTAATAGAGTTTTCTTTTCTCCCTTGAAAAAATTACAAACCTGTGATGGGAAATTTTCTTCCTGTGGATGATACGTTTTTGCTATGTGTTTAAGAATAGCTATTCTATTTTGTTTGTCACTTTCATCGTATTGTTTAAGAAGTTTTTCAACATTCTTAAAAGCTAATATTGGACTACGCGCGCCCAAATAGAATATTTCTTCGAGCAAAGGTCGAACTGTTTTCGTTATTATCATTTCTAAAAGGAAATGTAACTATGCATTAATAAAGAAGAATTCGTTTTTATTTTATTATTAAACATAAAATTTAAATTATTAGGCGAAATAAATGCACGGTTCGATGCCTACAGAAAAAGAAATCGTTCTTCTAAATCTTAAACAAATATGAATTTATTATTTTTGAATAACGGAAGTCGATTATTATCACATAAATAAAAAGAAAACAAAATATTGATTAATAAAAATTCAGATCACAAAGCAGATACTCATATCACACAATATTCGATTATTAGTATAAAGATAAAAAAAAAAAGACAGATCCGAAGAAATACTGTGTTTATGGAATGTAGTTGTCTTTTGTTAAAGTGGACTTTGAGTAAGAAATTGATTTTTAGGCGGTTTTTTTCCAATACAAAATACATTGAAGCCAATACTCATCAACTGATCATGGTCGAGGATAAGTCTTCCATCGAATACATACGATGGTTTCTGCATAGTACTGTAGATTAGTTCATAATCTAATTTCTAAATATAATCATGAAATATAAATAATTTTACAGAAGAAAAATTCTTTATAAGACTTACTATAAATTCATCCCATTCAGTGCAAACAACAATAGCATGAGAATCTTTTGCTGCTGCATAAGGTTCATTGGCTATTTGAACATGGTTGAGTACTAAAATCAAGCAAATCAATCATAATGAAGCAAGCAAAACAAAGAGATTCGTATCAATTGAAAATTTTCAGATCATCGAAACAAGCGAGCAAAAGAAACAAAATCGTAGCTTTATCTAAAGCGAAGAGTACTGCTAGTGTATGGCCACTTGTACACCCTCAACTATTATTAGTGAACCTGAATTTTTATACTGCCAAGAAAAATGGTGATATAAATTTTTTTATTTTCATGATCGAAAATTTATCTTACAGTCTGTTTCATTGGTGCCAGTTTGTTCAGATAAATCGAGAAAAATTCGCTCCGATGTTACTTTTGGATCATAAATATGTAAGGTTGCACCTTCCTCGATTAAATATCGACACACATAAATACTTGATGATTCACTAAACAAAAGAAGAAAATAAAATGATGATTTCAATTTTATGCAAACCGTGTATCAGCAGTATCTTTTTTGAAAGCAAAACCAAAAATAGCAATCTTTTTCCCACTAACACTACCAAACATATTTTGAACAATCATGTGAGCAAAACGCTCACGTTGCCAATCGTTGACTTTAATCACTTGTAACCAATACTGTGCAACTGGTTCAAGTTTTAATGATTCAGCCAAATAGATTAAATTGTAGACATCCTTTTGAAAACAACTACCGCCAAAGCCTTTAGACAAAAGGAGGAATGAATTAGATGAGCAATCGTAAATCGATCTACTTACCGATACTAGCATCGAGAAATTTGTTTCCAATACGAGAATCAAGTCCGACTGCTTTTGCAACTTCTTTTACAGATGCACCTGTCGCTTCGCAAACAGCTGAAATCGTATTTATACTTGAGATACGTTGAGCCAAAAAGGCATTGGCTACCTAAATATAGCAGAGTTTATTCTTCCAACAAACGAGAGAGAAAAAAGTGCAACGAACTAATTTCGATAGTTCCGATGACCATGTATTTGTTGTAAGAATTTTTTCTTTTGGTACCCAATGTTCATAGATCCATGAGAGTTTCTTGATTGCTAATGATCCTTCGATAGATTCATCGCCGCCAATTAAAACACGATCGGGTGCTAAAAGATCATGAACAGCTGAACCTTCGGCTAAAAATTCTGGATTCGAAAGAACTTGATAGCTAACACCAGGTCGTTTATTTGTTTTTAAGATTGTTTTTATTGATTCACATGCTTTAACAGGTACTGTTGATTTTTCAACAACGATTTTATTATTTGTTGCCGTATGAGCTATTTGTCGAGCAGCTTCTTCGACGTAACGTAAATCAGCAGCTCGTCCCTATTGACAAAAAAAGAAAGAAAAACTAGAACAAATTGTTCATTTCTATTCAACTCCTTCTACTTACTGTACCAAAACCATAGGATTTTGTTGGTGTATTAACACTAATAAAGATTAAATCAGCTTCGTTAATAGCTTTGTCTGTATCTGTTGAAAAGAATAAATTACGATTACGAATTTTTCGTACGATTTCATCTAATCCTGGCTGAAAAGAATTTTATTTAGTACGTATTGAGATTTCTACTAGAACACATCTACCTCAAATATTGGTAATGCATCTGAATTCCAAGCAGCAATACGTTCGGCACTCACATCAACCACAGTTATATGAATATCTGGACATTTACTAGCAATAATTGCACAAGTTGGACCACCGACATATCCAGCGCCTGAAATATGTTATTGACAAATTTCTAGAATAAAAATAAATGTTTTATATACCGATGCAACAAATTCGTAATGCTGGATTTGTTGATTGAGAAATAGAATCAGTTGTTGCGCCTTTCGTACTATCTAAAATCAAATTTGATTAATGTACCGAGTAAAAACGAAAGGTACCTGTGGTTATCGATGGAGTTTTAAAATCGGTGGCCATTTTGATTTCAAAAGGATATCTGAAAAAAGCAAAATATAAGATTTTCAACAACATCAGAAGAAAAGTATCGCTATGATTGTAATGTTACTCTAGAAGTATACTATGTATCTACCTAATAGTCATGCACGAATGAAAGAAAATAAAAGGTAGGATTGATTTTTGTCCTACTCGTTCATACTATATCAAAATACATGAATAAGCAATGAAGGATTTTTCTTTCTTCTTCTTTTTTGAGCAAGCAGTTTTAAATAAATTAGGGGGAGAATCGACAAAATCAATATTAACAACCATTTTTTATGTAATATATGGAAGACGATATAAAAAAAATGTGAACGATTAGAAACTTTGACAAACCAACGAATTATTGATTCTACAGATGTCACCTAGTGACTTCTTTTTTTTACCATTTGAGTAAATAGATTACCATCGCTTTAGTACTAAATAGTAAGGATTACGAAAAATTTTGTATATTGAGCTTGTCAAAAATATCACATTTTACGTATGTCAAGTATGAATAATAATTTCAGGACATAAAGTTCGAACTAAATGTAATAGAATATTATTTATTTTTTCTTCTTTTAATGAATACAATCAATAATCAGTATGGCGACCGTTAGCATTCTTTACTCTTCGAAGTCAAGATGAATATGAACATAGAAGAGATTCGGATAACTCAGTTTCTGTTTCCATATTTGCCAAAACGTCCGAAATTTGAAATTTTTGACAATTTAAATATACAAAAGGTTTCGTAGCCCTCACTATTATTAGTACCAAACTACTCCATTTTTCACGGAAATCCATTTGATATAAATTTCATTAGCCATTGTATTTGAAATAAAGGGGATACCCGCATGAAATAATATTATTTTCAATCTAATAGTTCATGTTAAAAGGATGAAACACAAAATTTATTTGTCTCTATGTAGGAATCAAAAGGAATGATTACGATATGTAATAATGTTTGTGAGTTGGAATCTATTATGTTTTCGCTTCAAATACATATATAGACTATAATTAGTTTGCCCTACAACAACGCAATACAAAAAAAAACACACGTCAATCCATAGGAGTGAGCCTTATTCCAAATTCGCTTATAAGCCTCCAGCCAATAGAAATAGAGATGAGTGTGTGTTGTTTATCACTAAGAGCGGCTTCTCTGCTTTTATTTTTTCTTGACATCTTTTCATCTCGTTTCCGTAACAAACATGAGAATAAATAGTTATTCTTTCTTTTAGAAACCTTTCGAGAACATTTTAGAAATGAATTTCAAATAATTTTAATTTTAACGAAATTAAAAATATATATAAAATATAAGAATAAGGCAAAAATTCATACAAAATGTTGGTCAAGTTAATCTTATGTGACAGTAAGATAAATTGCCTGATAGATTATTGATCTTCTCATTTGAGCGCTACATTTTGCTGCAATCGTTAGCTCGATATACCGACGAGAAGTAACAATATTCTGTAAAAAGTGATTTTTAAAACCCATATTTCTATTTCACAGCGCTTCACGATCTAGATGCCCATCGCCGGCCAGAACAGGAGAAGAGTATTCAGTAGTATTGCTAGCATCAGCGTTAAACACTGGTCTATAGTCGACATTTTAAGTAAAAGATGAACTTCATGATCATGGCATTTTACCTTACAAAATCAAGTGTTAAAAAAGAAATCGCGGAGTATATATAATGTTCGTCTTTTTCCATTGCCGCACATCCTTTTATCTAACGAGTTAATGAAATTACAGCACAAAAGGATACACGTGTGGTATATTAATTAACTTTCACGAAACAATCTACTTCTCCCTATCTTATTTATTATTATGAAAAAAAACGAAAAGATATTCGAAGGAAAGAAAAAAAGAGTAATCGTTCTTAATGATAAACGACATACATTCATCTCAATTTTTATTGACTGAAGGTTTACAAGCGAATTCAAAATAAGGTTCATTCAATCCTATTGTGAAAATAAATTATGTTTTTATTTATTTCGAATCAATAAGCTGCAGCGTGATCCTACGTTGTTGCTGTGTCTATATTTATGTTTTATGCACTATCTATTTGATCGTTAATGTTTTTCATACCAAATAAAAATCTCATAGAACAATTCGAAGTAACTCATCGACAGCCTATCGAACTGTTCGTGTTCCGTATTAAGTCACGATTACGAGTGTTATTTAACATCATTGCCATGACACGTATTGAAAATTTTCTATACAAACTGTAAAATGATGACTACTTTAACTAGTTACAGAACTGCTAAGGAAATTTCTTTCAATTTTCAAGACTCAACTAGGTAGTCACATATTTAAAAAGCACACACATGCGTAGAGTTATTTCGAAATTATTTTAATATACTACGAAAATAAAATTTATGAAAAGAGGCCTTATAAAGAGACGTGGCACACTTCAAATGACAACTATACGGTCTTCTCTCCGCTCACATATTCGTAGTCACTTTTTATTTAAGAAAAAAACAATATCTTATCAAAGATAAAAAAATTTTGCTTTAAAAAATGGCTTGTGCTGCTCCATTAAATCGATGTGCTACATGTGAGACACTTGGTAATGAACAGAAATCTAAACCAGGTATCCTATTATGCATGGGTTGTCGAAAACACTTCTGCTCTAAACATATGATTCAGCATCGAGAGCATCTAGCCGATTTACTTGAAAATGGCGTTGTCTGTGAAAGAAATGCACTTCTAGAGAAAATATCAGCACCGTACGACGAACAGTGGTCTGCTACTATCAAAGTACAACTGGAGACAATCAATAATTGGGAATTGGATACAATTGAACTAATCAAGCAATCTGCTATGCGCGCACGTAAAGAACTACACGAAACAGCTTCGAAAGAATATGAGAACTTAAGTAAACAATTCTCAATGTTATCGAATGAGTTAAATACACTACTCGAAAATGAAAGTTATTTCGAAAATGATATTGATCAATTAAGAAATAAATTTAATCAGTTAAAACACGACCTTGAACAATATCCAGTTGAGCTTAGTATCAATGGGATTTCAAATGAATTAGTCGTCGTGAAATCAATCGTTCACCCAGTGCCTCCTATTGTACCATTGTGCTGTTTTATTGATCAGTTGATCATATCACAAAAACCAAAGTTATCTATTGATATTCCCGCAAAAATCCTTGGTCGAATGTGTCCAATGGGTGATAACTCTATTGGATTTCATTCTAAAAAACAGTTGCCTACTCTAAATATGAAAGATCTCTGGTGGCAAAGCCTTTCGGTAATAGGAAGTAATGTCGAATTAAATTGGTCCGATTATTTAGAATTATTTTTAGTATTAGAATATTGTGATTGGAAAAATCAACCGAATAAACTTTATCAGTTTGATCCATATTCCGGAGATCGTAAGGAACTTTTTAAAAAGTCGACTCACTGGGACAGTGATTCGGATGACAACTTTAGAACCTTTACATGTTTTGAAGAGTATATTGTAATCATTCTTGGGAAAAAAATTCAAACGTGGACAGTAACTGATAGACTATGGTACACTGATGAAGAATCTTGCACACGCTGGTGTCCGCCAATCTCATGTCAGAAAAATGAGGACATCCAATGTATTCGAATGAATGATCAGTATTATGCACTTATAATTCAACATACTGATTTACCTTATTTGGAATTAAGAAATCATGGTATGTCAACTCTTCATCGAATAATTCTTGATCAACAAGATTTGCCTAAACGTATGCGATTACTCAGTTTGCCAAATGCATCTGGCTGGTTAATTTTTTTTCGTAGGAAGACAAGCACTTGTTGTGTATTCGATAATAATGGTAAACGACACGATCAGAATTTTGTGATGTCATCAAATATCATCGATATTACGACTCAGAATGATTTAATTATTATTCGAAAGCGCGACGAGAAGTACGGTGATGTCATCCAAGTTTATGACTGGCAGAAATGAGTAAAGCAATAACATAACACTTTGACAATACATAGTAGATGAACTCGTATTTCTTTTTTAATTATCTAACAGTTAACGCTTTAGATTGGTGTCCTCGCCAAGACTTGATACGCACATTTTTATCAGTATTGTGTTCTAAAATCAGCTTATCACCGAACAAGTTCTTGAATATTCGGAAGTTTGTAATGAAAAGATTGCATTAAAAACTGAAAGGATCGATACCGTGTCTTTTTAATAATAAAGTATATTTCCAATACTATCATCATTCAACATGTGCGAAACATTGAATTCCACAATGATATAGAAAAGTCAAAATATTATTTTAGCTGAAAAAAAATCATCGAAATATTCATCGATGTAACTTGTGTAATTCATTCACATCACTAGAACACTGTTTACCAAATCTAATTGAAATAGCCTTTGAACATATTAAATAAAACAGAGGTAAGTTGATTATTATTATTTTCATCGATTTCATAAATTCTACAATCATTGGATTTAATATTATGGAGATTTAATTGAACCTTTAGGGGCGTAGCTGAGGGCGTGGGTGTAGCTACAGACAAGGAGGCAATCATAACCCACGCTCTTAGATGATGATCAACTAGGTAGTATTCGTTTAAGAGTTTCGATGTATACGGCTTTGGTTCTAAATAATCTAAATTTTCCATTAACGCATTAACGATGGCTTTGAAATAATCTGTCTTTGATATTGAAGAGGGATGAATATATACGACTACAATAAAAGTATTGCTGTGAGTTTCAGTATTTCTCAATTTATTCAATCAAATAATTGTACAACATAATGAAAAAAATAGAACAAAAATAAGAGCCTTGATTTGCCTTGTATAAATTGACCACAAACATCCCAGGTCGAACAATCCGGCCTGGAAACTGCCGGTTCCAGGTATTTCCGTTGATTTTGTGGAAGCAGTATTCCGGTTGGAAATTTTTAGTATTTTTTCTGGTGATTTCCAATCAATTCCTGCCGGAAAGCACCGGGACTTGGCGGGAATTCTCCGGAAGTCCGGCCGTATTTTAGGCCGGAATACTGCTTCCATGTTCCAGCGATTTCCCGTGTTTTCCTGCAGGATATGGTGACTTTCCCGCATATTCCCTGGAGTATCCTACGGGATCCGATGGCCGGAATGTTCGACCTGGGTAGATTAAAATTGTGTTTCGTCTATGTGGAATTTATTGCAGTCATCGGTTTGGCCCCAATTTCGGTGATATCAATCGGCCTTTTAAAAAAATAGAAATATATTTTGGCAACGACAAAAGGTTTTCTTACTTGACCATCTTTCATTAGAGCAGAATTGTTGTTGATTAAATATTCATGCGGAACTATAATACATAGTTCGAGAAAATTTTGGATAACCCAGGACAATCATTCCGACCGCCGGAACGGTCATCTTAACAGGCCTGAAACGGCTAGAGAATCGTATAATAAGGCGTTAATTTTCACCTTATTTCGCCGTAATTCGTCAGCGCGTTTTACAGACCGTTTTTTACGCCTTTTACGGCCATTTACGCACCGTTTTCTTGGACCTGGGAAATGAGTACTTATAGAAAACTTGTCTCAATGTTGGTGGTATAGTCATATTGAAAAGCTGAAATAGAAAAGAACATATGTTATTTCTGTACCGGAATAAAGTTTCTGCTTTTCTATGTTTATAGAGACGAATAGTAGAAGAAATGAAGTATTTTTCTATTCGAATGATAACTATATTCATGCGAATTATTTATAGCTACAGTGGATATGAAGAAAAGAAAAGAAAACGATCTTAGACAGGAATAAATCTAACTGATAAAGTGTTATAACAGCCTTCTCTACGACAGTACTGGCCAAAAGTATAGCTCAAATCCAAACAGAAATTCTGAAAGTCAATGAAGTTTTCTACTCAATGCAATATGTAGTAGAGTTTCATGATTGAGTCACGATGGAGAGATTTCTAGAAAACCAAAAACCATATTCTTCAAATTCTGCAGAAAATCATGGGTCGTCCCGCTTGCTACGATCTTCCATTGAAAAGTTACACGCTACACCAAAAACAAAAAAAAGGAAATTTATCAAAAAATCGCTAAAAATAGATTGAAACACCATTTTTTGTACTTGAGGGTGTGGGTGCACGTTGAAAGAAGAGTGCCACACACAGCCACGCATTTGTACTGAAACTCACACCCAGTGAAATGTTACAAATTGATATTTATGCATAGCATACGCAACTATTACTATCGATCTTTTGTTTCTTGATTTATCAAGCAATAAAAAAAAATTCGTAAATTAACTATTTTAAGTGCAGTTATATTTATTGTAGAAAAAAAAAATAATTCAATTACGAATGAATATAATAGATGAGAGAGAGAGAGAGAGAAAAAAAGTAATTATGAACACAAGAATAAGACAAATCATACCAGATACAATTCACAAAAATCAAAACGCCACAACAGAAACAGCAACTATATATGTAGTAGTATCTTTTCATTGAAATTATGTTTATATAGTATATAAATAAAATAATAAGCTATTGAATGGTTCTCTTGAATAAGTAAAACAAAAAGAAAAGGAAGAAAAATAATATTGGTAAATTTCAATAGACCAATCATGAACTATATAGTCTAATAGTAATTTGCTTCTTCATATTATAAATTATTCTAATGGAAGAAGTCTTTGGTTTTATCGAATAGTCTTGTGAACAAAACAAATATGAGTTCTTTCTGAGTGAAAGAGAAAGAGAAAAGAAATAATCGATCTATACCAATCAGACAGATCATGAAGAGACACGCACACACATATTCACGGAACAATCATTCAAATGAAGTTCATTCATACATCGGTACCATTCCATCAAAAACAAAAATAGAAAACAAAAGGCCATCTGACATGTACCACAAACTTTCTTACATTTCGAAAATTCTACTGATGATAATTATTAAAATTGTACACTCGTGAACGTTGTTCTAAATTACCATGATCGGATATTGGCGAATCATAATTATTATCTTCTTCATCACTGTAATGTCTATGATAGATACATGATAAATTGAATTCGTATAAAATTTCAAAGACTTACCCTTGAGTTAATACATTGCGTTTTCTAGCTGCATTTTTTTGTTTCATTTGTTTGATGGATGTTCGATTACGTTGAACTATTTGAGATTGATCATTTAAACGATTTTGATAGACAATTACATTTTGTGTTGAACCATAACCTGAATTTGGTGTTGCATAATCAACTGAAATACTCGATGATGAATTATTATTATTATTATTATTATTGATATCCGATATGGGTTGTTGTTCATATGGTATATGTTGAAAGCCTGTGGATGTATAACGTGTTGAATATTCATTTGAATTTTTCGACAATTCTTTTCGGCGATTTCTTGTTGATATTGGCTTAGAAAATTGATATGTTTGATTATTTGTTTGAACATCAAGATTATTATAAAGTGCATCAATTTGATCGATCGTTTCATCGAAACCTCGAGGATTATTATTCGGTGATTGAGAATAATTATGAACGATTTGATTAATTTGATCGAAATTATATGACTGTTGTGGATACGAATTCGATTGATCATCACTTGAATAATTCGCATTCAAACCTTGACAACGAATTTCATCCGAACTAAAATAACCCGACGAGCGATTTAATGAACGATCCGATGCATGAAAATCACTGTTGATTGTCACCGTATTTCCTGGTCGTGCAGCGAAATTCTGTATTGAAACGCGACCATCTTTTGATGTTGTTACAATTGCACGTGAACTTTGATCAAGTGAAACAACAGTCGGCTGTTCTGGTTGTTGAGGTGGACGTTTTTCAATTTCAATTTCAAAATCTAAATTCGAACCCAATAGATTGCCAAGACTACCAGAATGATATTGTATTTGAGGATTAGATGTTGATTTCGATGTTGGAGAATAATATTGCTGCTGCTGTTGTTGTTGTTGCTGTGGTTGGTTTTGTTCGTGAAAAGATGAATGATATGATGCGGAACGTGTTGAAAAATTTAATGGAGAAGAATAGTCATGTTTAGTTCCCACTGGACCTAGAAAAAAAGAAAGCAAAAAGAAAATTGACTTTTGTGAATAGAAGACTTGTCTTTAAGAGAAAAAAAAGAAACACAATGATTAGTTTTCCCAGAAGCTTGAAGAATATGAAAACAGTTTTAATTGAGTTATAACAAACAAGAGGGTTGAACAGGTTAATCAAAGAAAAAGCACAAACCTAAACTTGCTACAATAATAATAGAATAAATAAAACTAACAGAAGAAAGTGTCCGGTAACTTACCAATTCGTGATTGATTCGGTTGTTGTCGATAATTTTCGTTAATCGATGGTGGAGTATAACTTGTTGCATAGACACGTTGAGACTGTAATCGTGAACGTCCTGTATCTTGTTTAATGTTTTTATTGAGTTCAGGTTCACTTATTCCATGGCGCATATTCTTAAGTTCAGGTACACGAACAATAGCAATTATTTCATTCGGTGAATTTTTACCAAATGTAACTTGATCTTGTGGACTTAATGATGTGACTTCTATGCTACGCGTTTGATTAATTGAATTTTGTGATGGACTTTGATGTAGACTTTCTTGTGATCGATAACGTTCGATAGGTTTGAAAGATGTTTCTTGTATTTGAATTGGCACGGCTTCATGTTTGGATGAAGCTGGAAGAAAATAAAAAATTCAGATTTTTGCAGATGTTGCCAAAGAAGAAAAAATGTTTTTACCTTTAGTAATAATTTTCTCATCATATTTTGGCCGTTCGTTTAATGAGCCACGTTTGTTTGGTGTTGTTTCATCGGATGAACTGTATGTTGAACGTGTTAATGTTGTAGAAAGTTTTTTCGGCGGACTACTTGGACTTGTTGTTCGTTCGGTTTTAATTGATTCTTTGATTTCATTGGTTCGTTTTATTTGGCATTCGACATGAGTTTCAGTTTCGATTGTTTCTATTTCATCGACAATCAACGGTTTTCTTGATCGTGATTGTGTGGTGATTGGAACTTTACTTTGAATATCTATTCCACTACGATAATTCGATAGACTTTCATATTTATCCGGTGTTGAGCTTCTTAATTGCCGTCGAACGGTTCGTTGTTGATGATAAGCATTGACTGGCTCAGTTGGAGAAACCTCGGTATTGTATTTATATGTTGATCGTGATAGAGATGAATCATCAACATTTTGAAGTGTTGCTTGATCGGCATCGAATGTTTGCCGTCGAATAAAGGGCGAACTTGTTGACGTTGCTGTAGAATCAACATAAACACCACGATCATATGTACGAGTTCCATCATCGGTGATCGACGCTGATACGCTATGACGCCAAGTAGGCGAGCTCGTTGGTATTTGTTGACTGGCCGTTGTTGAATATTCATAAACACCTGAATCATTTGCGATACTTGACTTATTTTGATCATGAATAGATCTTGTCGGACTTGGACATAGATCGGATGAAAGCTCAACTAAAATACCTTTACCTATAGAAGTCGAAAAAAAACAATATGTAAAATTTGCACAACACATCAAAACGTACCTTTACTTGTTGGCACATGGGAAAGTATATTTTCCATATTTCTTTCCGTAAATTTAGTTGTTGTTCGCGGTGCAGTTAAATTCGTATCAATGGGTTGTGTTGTACTTTGTGAAAAATCTCGTAAACGTCCTTTTGAAATACGCCGTCGTACATCATAGTTTTGCTTGGGGTCACTTAATTCATCTTCACTCTCATCACCAGCATCGTCAATATCTTTTTGCTTCGTAGATTTTGATGTTGTTTGATAGATAATAGGTTGTGTAGGACGATTTACATCGGAATCAATTCCTTTTTTTTGTTTGATTTGTATATCGATTGTTGTTTGTGCTTGACTATCATCTTCTAATTGACTAAGACGTTCATCTGATTTTATACGTATAATTGCTTTCGACTCAAGATTATCACTATTAGCTATACGATCAGTAACAAGAGATGGTGTTGCATGAGTTGCACTCATACGACGTTCATTTGACTGAAATTCATTGATCTAATTAATTATAAAAGTAAATTTTATCGTCTCGCTTTTTTTTTCTTTCCTCTGAAATTCATCTTGAAATATTTCCTTCTTAAATTATAACAATAATAAACACCATAAAAGATGAATTAATGTCTAATATGTTATCATTATGCTATCTATGTGCAGGATAAATGAATTGGATTCGTTTGTGGTTTAAACGAGATAATTTTCATTGAAGAGGCAAAAGAAAAAGAAGAAGGTTTTATCTTCGCATATTGATTAGTATTAAAAGAAAACAACAGAAAGGAGAATCAAACAAGTAAGCAAACTTTCAGAGAGACAATAATATTAATGCGCCCCAAGCAATAGAATAAATCGATCTTATATCTTACCGGTCGTCGAGCCAAGTCAGTAACTGTTTGTTGACGTTCTTCAAAAACTCTTCGTCGTTGTTCTGTTACACCAGTTGTTATTGGAATTTGATATTTCGATGTATTATTATCGTCTTTAATATATCCAGTGTTTGTTGTTGTTTCAAATGTAGCTTTTAATTCGCCAACACGACCAAATGTTGGATATTGTTGTGTTTGGTTTTCATCAACAAGCGTCGAAGACGAATATCTTGATGATTGTCGATGATCGTCATCGTCAATAGATGAACTTGAAATCACTTGTTCTCGACTTCCAGGCTAGAACATAGATCAATTCGTTTTGATAGAGCCAACGATGCAAAGATTCAAACAATCAGTTAGTTTTCATTCAAACAAATCACGCACACATGTAACACAAGTATTATCTCATACGTATCTCAACTTACATCAGCAAAATAGACCTTTTTCTTTTTCTGTTCATAGTCATTCGCTGATGAATGCCGATATTTTCTTTCGGATGGTGAATCTCGTGGTCCAGTAATCAGCACCTCTTCGAAAACGTGTCTTGACGGGAGTGCTGAATCTAATCTTCGTGATTCAATTAGTACTCTATCACGGCCAGGAACTTGAACTGGAATGCCGTTGTAACGCGGTTGAGTATAGGATGGTATGACTGATGCTCGTCGAGCGTTATAACGTCCGTCGTTGCAGTAGTTATACTATAGGGAATAGGGAGAGTAGTCTCACTCGAATGTATTTCTAATGAGTGAACTAGACCAAAGAGGACTTATCGTTTCATCTCACAGAAAGATCTCGAAATTTTTGGTCTTGTCAAGATCATCGTAGAAGCACAAACGGCAAGTTAACGTTGGAATAGCTCCTTCCTTAGGAGAAAAAAGAAAAAAAGATTCTTTTCTAGTTGCTTACCTGATCGAATCGATCATCATCGGAAGGAGGGGCATAGATTTGTCGAAGTCTAGTTCTCCAATCGGAGCCTCGTCGACTCGAATCTGTTTGATTGGTTGTAGTATTCGTATCTTCTTCAGATGTTTCTGGATTTTTTGTTGTTTGTACTTCAACTTCGTATTCTTCGCTGAAAAATTCTTCTGGCTCTTGTTTTCGTGTATCGGCATAATTTGATGTTGGTGTTAGAACACTTGAAATGCGTTCATATTGTGATGATGGAGTTGTTGAAATAATAGCTTGATTCGTCGATGGCATAGGCGAATATCGACCTGAACGTACACGATCGTAATTTGATGATGATGATGGTGGTGGTGGTGCTAAATCAAATTGTTGCGTTCTCGATTCAATCTCTCTAGCAAGATTAGAATCGCAGACAATTTCTGTTGTATAAATATCTTCAGATGTCCATGGTTGATCTTGTTTGGGTAATAGTGACGACATCGTCGTCTCTAATTGAAATGAAGGAGGAGGTTGTGTAATCTCCTCGTGGATATGAGTTTGTACTTGATTAATAGGTACTATCTTATTTGCTGATGGAGTCCGAGTAATTTTTTTAACAATATCATAACTTTTATGTCCTTTAATGCGTACATTTTTTCCCTTATATTCTTCTTTGACAACGTCACTTCTGATACGATCACCTGTTTCAATAATATCGGTTCGAATTATTCGTTTTGTGTTCTCATCATATTCATCTCGGCGACGACAAAGGAATTCTTCGCTCCATTCTTCAAAAAATGCTTCTTCGCTTGATATCGATTTTTCATCTTCACTAATATGTTCAATAACTGTTTCCGATAGATTCGAATCATCATTAAGAACTGGTGGTTGTGGCAGTGGTGATATTACAGGAGGTCGTACAATGACAGTAGTTGGCTCAACATATGGTTTTCTTATTGGCAGATCTGTCTCATTTCCATATTGATACGTAGCTTCTTGTTTATATTGACCTTCTGTACCCATATTAACATCAACAGTTTTTCTCATTGATACATCTTCATATGTAGGACCGGATTTAGTTGAAGCGGGTGGACGAACTAAATGAAATCAATCAAAAGTCATTAGTTGTGTGTGTTTTTTTTTACTCAAACGAAACCATACACTCGAAGCCTTGATATGTATATATGTTTGTCAGTATAGAGAAGTCAGTATATAAAAAAACTCAATTATTTAATTCATCTTACTTCGATATTCTACTGTTAATCTAATTGTTGCACCGTGAGGTGTTGTAGCATTGGCTTCTAATCCAAGAATTTTTTTCGACGATGATGGTGATGTAGCCATTATTTAACCAAAAAAAAACTGAATGTGCGTATGAGTTTGCGTATGTGGTTGTGTCGATGGAAGAGAAATGCGAGGATTTATAACAATCGAATGAGTATGATAGACATTTAAGTTTCTTTTTTTAGTTCTTGCGTGAAAAGGATGAATATGTAAGTAGAAGAATAGCTAGTAATCGTTGCTCATCGTTGTCGAGAAGCACTATGTAATAAGGGCGTGTTGTAGTAAAAATCACTCGTCTTATCAGACTTTATTAAAAGAACGAAAAGAGAGAAAAGGATGTAAAATGAATTAGAACGAAAGTTATTGGTAACATTCAACATTTATATTTATAGCGAAAAGAAGGAAGACGATTTGGTATCTTCTTCAATGGTTTCTCTCGATTTCCACATTCCCATCGACTATTGATTACTTTTCTCTCTCTCTCTCTCTCTCTCTCCCTTCTCGTTCTATGGAATTTAATAATAAAAGGAAAAAAGAAGAAAGTGATGCTTTTTTATGTTTGGTAAAGTTCAAAACTTTTTTCTCTCAACCACAATAATGAAAATGAATCTATATTTCACTTTCTCTCTCTCTCTCTCTCTCTCTCTCTCTCTCTCTCTTCCAAGCGAGCACCACACGCAATGCAATCGTCGAAATATCGTCAGAGGCAGTGATGGCGATACACGATTCATTTAAACCGTGCCGATTCTCTTCTTTTTTTTTTCTCCTTCATCGAATTGCATTGCGCTTTCGGTTTCTTACACAAACATTGCTCAGTACCACTCAAATGCTGACTAGCAGGTCTATTAAAAATAAATTGTTGCCTTGTGTCGCGTCTAGTTAGATTAAAAAAGACGGTATATTTTATTTTCGTGTTGTTGTTATGAAAAGAACGAGAGAGAAAAAGAAAGCACAAAAGAAACCCTTTTCAACAACCTTCTTCGTTCATCAGCTAATGATCAATCTTCTTATTCACATCAGAAAGAGCATATCCAACAAAACAAACTTTACATAAATAATAGAAATATGAATATATTTATATATATATATATATGAGGTGTTTTTTGTAATCAAGTCTTATGGGTAGTTATTTATACAATGGCCTTGCTTACGCTGCATGTCATTTGAGCTGCTTCAATTTTTTTACTTTTCATTCGTTGATGGAACACAAGAAAAACCTTGAGTTTTCACAATATTGATGAAAGAATCAACCTTCAGGCTGATTTTTTTGCTCCTGTTTGACTATTAAAATGATTTAGTCAAAAACAAGAAATCGCTTGACATTTTTTATTTTATTAGCTATTGGATGTTGTCATGATCTCAACGTGCAACATGAAATAGGATCATATTTAACTATATCAGATAATCCTTTATTTTCTTTTTACAGAAGCAACGAAACTCAATGCTACCTCTTAATCGATGTCACATTATAGAAGACATACAAGCCTATACTTAAGTACTATGTTTTTAACTTGTGATCGAGTATAACAACAAAATATGCATGTTGATATGACGGAAGAATTAGTGGCAATTGAAGGATTTTTATTTATAGAAGGAAGTGACTAGTCTCGAGTAGCATAATGCGCTTAGATAAATAAGATTTATATAGATAATAAATAATTTAAAAAGGCGTCAAATCAAAATAAAATATTGTGAAAAAAGAGAAATAAACGAAGCTCAAGTTGTTTATTTTTCAAGGTAAAAATGATTTTACTAAATATTTTTTTTTCGACTCGATGAGAGAAATTTATGATTAAAATATTTCATCAATATAAGAGTAAACCAAGGGCTTCAAAACCATTTCTTATTTGAGATATACAAAATAACAACTTTTTCGTTCTCTCTCTCTCTCTCTCTCTTTCGTTACCTTCTAACGATGCTGTGCGTTTTAATTGTGAATGTTCACGTTCTTTTTGTTTACTAGCAGCTTTTTCTTGCATTAACATTGCCTGATCGAGTTGATAAAAATCATGTTCATCCTAGATAACACAAATAAATAAATATATATATTTATATATACACGCAGTATATTAATTTAGATTATTTGAGTTCGTTGTTTTATACATGTAACCATGTATTTCTACAAATGACCTTCTCAATTTGTAACAACCATTTACTTTCATCTTTACGAATATAAATTATATACATTAGTGTATATATCACTATTGTAACAAGGCTATTCGACCGTTCAATAGATTGTATATAGTAAGAAGATAATTATCGGTCATATATACAAGTCTCTCTCTCTCTCTCATTGAATGATCCTCTCGAAAAGACGAATGAGTATTAAGAAAGAAAAGAAAGAAACAAAGCTGATCGTATCATGATACTATATTGAACAGCGGACTCCTGTCAATCAGTTAAGAGGTATAATAATGTTGGCAGCTATTAGAGTTCGTTGTATCGTTTCTTTATGTGTTTGTATGAATTAGAAAACAAAGCAAAAAAAGATGTCGAGTCTTGCTTTACGTAACTGATTTTTAGAATAAATATGATTTGATCAACAAACGTCTTCAAGTGTCTCACATGTCTAGGGTCTTAAATTCATCATTTATATTGAATGTCGAGAGTGAAAACTGAAAATGCTACTTGAAAGATTTCTTTTTTTGAAGAAGAAGAAGAAGACAATCGCATTAAAAAAAGCTATTTAAACCCGAACAAAACAAAACGAAATTTTTTTATTGTATTAGTAAAACATATAATGTCTAAGAAAGTGTTTGTTTTTTTTCTTCTAATAACTTTGATTAGAAGCATTTGTTGATTTGATTGATATTAGTAATACAAGAGAAACGAAGCAAGAAGCACTAGGAAGTAAAAAGTGTCAAGCGGAAAGAGTTATTTATTTACTATCTAAACGAATCGTTTCTTTTCTATTGAGTCTAGATGGATAGATTTTATCGAATAAATTTTACATGCAGCTTTTTTTGACATGTTTTACCTCGATTATAATATTTAGTTTTCTTGAGAAAATACTTGATAATAAATTATTTTCACTTTTTATTAATATATCCGGTTGAAAAATGTCAGCATAACATGTTTCAGGAAAAGGAAATAATGATTGAATATGATAATGATCGATATAACTTGGTTGATCCAGTTTACATGATATCGTTTGAACGATATTTTCTTCATTATCAAATAGATCACGTGTTCGAACGTACGATAAAACTTCTTGCTGTTTTATTTGGTATTTTTTCGGTGAAATTAATCCATCGTCTTGTGTTGTAAACGGAAGAACATGAGGTAATACATTCGGTGGATGAAAAAGTGGAAATGCACAATGAAAACTCATTTGGTATATGTAAACTTCATTTATTATTGGTAAATGCATATGCGATGATTCAAAAGATATTTTCAATGGTCCTTGTGTATTTTCATATAAATCATGGCCATATTGTAAACGATGAGGATAGATTAAATGTGCGGTATCATCTTCATCGAGTTGATTTTCAGTAGGAAAATGAATTTCTTGTTCTATTGACGAGAGAGTCGATTCGTTTTCATGATGAATTATTGTTGGCAAAACATCAACATATCCTAAAGAACGATTTATCCATGTAGGAAGTAGAGCTTGGTCGGCAGCTGAAACCGTATTTGTTATTTCTGTCATGGTGTTATTGATTTCATTGAGACCGAAACCAATGGTGAATAGAAAATTTCTTGTTGGATTATTTGTTTGATGTTTTTGCTCGGTAGCTAATGCATCGAGCAAATATATTACTGGTATAGTAGGTGCGGAGTAGAATGTCAAAGGTGACAATGATTGTGTTGTGTTTGTGATAGAAGACGACGGTAAAATATTTTTGTTGGATGATAAAGGTATGATAAAAGCGTTATTCATTGTTGAGTTGACAGTATTGTTATCTTTGTCTAGTGAATCTTGTTCGTAGTCAATTGTTGACGAGCGATGTGTAAGAATGTCTCTCACATCATTATTTTCGTGTGTAGCAGCGGGAGTTGAATTATTCGATTTTACTGCATTGAATTTCTTGTCTATCGAACAAGCATTGTTAGTAGAAGCATTAACAAGAAGATTCACACACTCGGTATTAGTTATCAATTCAATTTGCTGTCGTCGCAAAGTACCCTCATGTTGAATAGTATCAATATCTTTTTCGACTGTCCATTGTTCAACAAGTTGCTCATCATGAGATTGAACGGTGGTAGATCTAAACCATTCTATTGGTAGTAGACGATGCTTTTGTTTGCATCGTTCTGTTTTTGTTGTTACATAAGAATAAGACATTTGATCGATTATGGGTAAATGTTGTTCATGATCAAGACTTTGTTCAAAACTATTTAGAAATGTTTCCATATCAGCAAACGATGATACTTCTGAATCTATGGACATTTTTTCCATACGATTCCACAATAATTCGTCTTCAGTTTTTTTATGCGATTTTTTGTTATTATATAATGCATAGTTTAATTCGAAAACATGTGTTGAATTAATAGAATTTTTTAGACAAGAACTTTCATCAATATTGATATTGGCTCGTTCTTGATGACGAACTAAAAGCGAGTCATCCGCTAGCGATACAGCCTGTTCTAGGTCGCAAATATCTGAGTTCGATGTATTCGGTATTTGACTATTTATAAATTGTTCTGGTAGATTTACTTTTACGCATTCATATTCAATATTTTCCGAATCTTTATGCTGAGCATTTTCTATATTGAAATCGAATTGATTAGAAATTATTTGAACATGTTCATCAGTCCATTCGGTATTATCAACCATGATCGGTATACGAATAGTTTCTTGGGCTTTTTCGCAAACATTGCAATAGTTATCGTCATCGATTATTTGTTTAGCGTATTGTTTATGCGCAGTATAATTCAGATCTTCAAGAAGTGAAGCAAGCTAGAAGGATGTGTGAAATATGATTAAGATGTGAAAACAAAAGGCAAAGCTAGATTAAAATCGAAGGAAGATAAATATAAAATGATTGTTTCATTATTTGTTGTCTATGTTGAATATTAATTTTCTGTTTTGTACTTACTGGATCAAAATTGTAGACCAACTCAACAACTAACGATTCTAAAAATGTATTCACATTTGAAACTTCATTTTTGACGTTGACTTGTTCATATTCCGGCAATGGTTCATTCATATCCTTGAATATATTTTTTTGTTTTAAATTTTTTTTTTGTTTAGATTCATTACCTGGACTTGTTCGTTCAATAGAACTTCGTCGATTGTAACATGTTGTTCGGTTAATGGATTCAATGGCTTTTCTTTTCGTTGACCAATAGATCGAGAAACACCAATATCAGGTACTACTGGTAGATATTTAGCTGAAATATTTTCATAGATTGGCATTTCTTCGTCGAATGGAATTGTAAAATTACCAGGTTCATATCTTCGTTCTTCTAAAGTATATTGTGTAAATTCTTCAACTTCAGATTGATCTGCTGATGAAAGCGCTCGTGGCGACGAAACAGCAGGTAATGCATATTGATAATTATATCGAGGACTTGGAAGGCGTTCAGTTTGATGTAGTAATTCATTAAAATGCTTTACTTCATGCTGATTTAATGTTACAATAGGTTTTATTGTAATGGTGGAGAGTTTTTTTTCCACAGGTTCAGATTCAACATATTTCGCTTGGCAAATTTTGTGTGCATGGGAAGGAGAAATATATGTATAGATTTTTGTTTTTGGACGCGTTGCATTTATCATCGGAAGATCGGATGAAATAGCCTAAAGAATCAAGGAGAATATGTGTCTTAGAACGACTAATACGATTATGTAGTAAAATTTTCATGCATAGAAATCATTAAAATAATACCTGCTGTGATGTTTGTAGTACGCTATCAATAAGGCCATCGCTTTGATCTTGTTGTCGAGGTCTTTTCTTTCTATCAGCGAAATCCGGTGGATCAACAGTTGTTAAAATTGGAACTTCGTTTAGGTTATTCACTTTAGATGCTGATGACGTAAGAATAGAATATATCTGCGGCGGTGCAATAATACCAACATGTTGAACGACATCCGTACTGCCATCATCAATGATGGTACGACGTGCACGGCCCATAATAATTTCTTTTGTCTGAATAATATTCGACGGTGATACAACCAGAAAATCATGACGCAATGGCGATGGACGATCGAAATCAATGATGGGCGGATGAGTAGATTTAATTACATTAGTACTTAAATCGATTTCTGAATTGCACATCGGTAGACTACAAATATCTATAGTCAACTGTTCATGTCTTGCTCGTCGGCGTCGTTCAAGTTCAATAGCGATTTTTCTTTTGTAATTTTCTAATACAAACGGCTTATAAATATCACTAACATCTTCGGTTGTGAATGATGTTGGTGTTTTAAATGATTGTTTATAACGTATGTGTTCTTTTCGGACTTGATATAAGTGTTCAGCTGATAAACTTCGTTCTATTGTTTTACTTCTATCGAAAATAAAACCTTGCTTACGAGCTTTAGCTTGTGCGATACTTTCAACATGCCGAACACTTTCTTGCATATTACGATTTAATTGCGAGAGATAAAAATCAGCGATTAAGTCACCTGGACGGTCCAGTAGCGAACGATTGACTGTTGATAGATAACGTGAAAGTTTTCGATGATGGGAACTGCCTTTCCTTTGAGCTGTTTTATCTATATAGAAATGATCTGCAAGTTGTTCATCGTCATCATCAGACCACAGCGATGAAAATGTTTGAATATCAAGATCAGTATCAGTATTAGAAGTTTTTTTCGAATTTTGATGAGATTTTTCTCGTTTGCATTGTGTCGCTCGAGCCACATGACCAGCGATAGACGCATCAATACCAACAAAACTTTCTTGCATGATTTTATAGAATAAATCAACATCCGGCCGAGCCGTTGTTAACGGTTGAGAAATCTATATTAAAACGTAAAATCAGCATCTCTTTCAAGTAATCATTTTGTTGAGTCAATGGTAATTTTAGAACTTGAACTATCAATTGATGTTTTAAATATTCACCTAAGATAATCCTCCATTTTTTGTTTTTGATTATCTTATTTTAACTATTCGAAAGACTTATAGGGCATCAGATTTAAACGATGCATTGTTTGATAGATTCTATCACATTTGCTCATCGAAATAGGAGAGTCGCTCTCTACGTTTTGAATGAGTCAGGTGAATTTTCTACTTTTTCAAGCTATTTCACTTATTTTTCTTTCGAGACGAGGTCTGAGTCATTGGTTGTTTTTCACGAAAACTTGTTATTATGCACTTTGAATATTTTTCCTTTCCAGCTCATTGAAAAAGAACTTATCTGGCAAATGAAATCGAGTTTTTCACGCTGTCTAACTGCATGCTAATTATCTTCTTACCGATGTATATGATTTTCGATCAGTTTCGAAGCCTGTTGATTGTGTATCGATATTTTCATTGAAACTTGCAACCATAAGTGGACTAAAGCCCGATGATGATACTGGTGATAATTGTCCGGTTGTCATCGATGATTGTTGTATGCGGTGTTGCTTTTCTCGACCAATCGTTGCTTTCATCTTGTAAGCTTCTAATATTGATGGTACATGAATATCTTGAATATCTTCATATGTGTATGAACGCATCTGATTACGTGTATGTGCATGTCGAGCACCGTCACGTTTCAAATCGTCTAAATATGATGTCGAAAAACATCGTATTAAATCATAATTTAATTCTCGTTGTAAGGTTTGATTTTCGTAGGAACGTAAATAGCGTCGAACATTTTGTTCGAAATATATCAAACGATTTTTATCGATTTGATAATTACGATCGATTAAACTTTTATTTAGATTTTTTATTATTTGTGTATGGGTACGATTTGTATTGAAACTGGAATGTAATCGTTTTTGTTCATCGCCAATTTCTAATGAATCGTCGCTAAATGGTTTATCTTCTTTTGCATAATATTGACTAATATAATTTAATGATGATGAGTTTGAAGACAGAAGTTTCATTGGTTGTTGTTGTTGTTGTTGTCGATATTTTTGATTGACTGATAAAACAAGACGATCAACCGATTTTTCGAATGATTCCGGTGATTGATTACGTCGTTTTTCAGATAGAAGCACTCGTGCTTCGTTTAAATATGATGGTGGTGGCGGTGGTATTGATTCAAAACGAACACTAGGAGTTTTATCTGTACGTGATCGTTTGATTTTTGATAATGAACCATTTGTTGATGTCACTGTATCCAATCGTCGTGGCTTTCGAAATTCCGGACCCAAACTTACCGAATGCAATGACGAACCTGTAAAGCCATCTACTATTTTTTTAGATCGATTAAATTGATAGGGCGATGCAACTTCCGAACGAACAAGTGTCGATGCTGTACTTGGATATTTGAGTGTGTCTGATGTTTTAGAAAATGTATAAGGTGTATCGCATAGATATGTTGATGTTCCTTCCATAAATGTAACTGAACGTTGTTCGAGACCACTACGCGATCTTGCATGTGGTAGTGTTTTTCTTGAAGGTTTAATTGAATTATCTAATGGAAAATAATATCGATTGCAATCTGTTGAATATGATCGCGGTTCGCTTTGATTGGCTGGGAATTTGTAAATATTTTTATTTCTATATTGATCACCATTTACGGAAGAAAATTTGTAACGTTTTCTTAATGATGGTGGTGTTGTGTCTGATTTATGTTTTGATTTTTTATTCATAGTTGACGGTGAACAAAAGTAATAACGATCATTAATATGTGATGATGATGGAAGTAACGTTTTTGTTGACATTTTAATTTTATTATTCTTATTAATATAAATTTTATTGAAATGAGAAGTTAATCGTTGAGATTTTTTTCCTGGCTGATCGAATGTAAGTTGCTTTTCATTAATCGATGATGATGAAGTGTCGTTTGATATTGATTGACTATTATCATCCAAAGAGCTGTTGATCACCTAAAATCAAAAAGTCAAAGTTCTTTGCACTCTTTTCGTTCTCTAATAAGAGTAAAGAACATCATAATTTGTCAAGATTGAACTCAACAAAAAAAAGAACGTTCTTTTTTTGTCTATATTAAAAGGAGTGTATGCAGAAAATTATTTGCCTTAACGATACGATACTTCAATGATCACCGTTTAAAATATGAATGAAAACGTTTGTATGCTGTCAGCTCTTGAAAGAAAATTTGCAATCGTCTATTTGCTTTTCTTTGCTTCAATGAATTGTATGTATACATTTATGCATACGATGAACAGTTTATGTTTTGACAATATTGCTTAACGCAAAAAGAAACAATAAGCTGTAAGGCAAGTTTCAATGAAAAAGCAGAAGAAAAAAGAATAGGCTTATAACGCAAAGAGCTTAGTTACCTTCATAAGAAGACTCGAAAAAAGAGTCTTTTTTTATTTTCTTAAATCAATGTTAATTAACGAAATTCGTACTGAACTATCGATTTAATCAGATTTTTCTATGCAGGTAATCGTCTTGACTATATGAATAAATAGATGCGAATAGTTGTCGATGCAGAAAAGAAAAAGAAACGAAAGAAGAAGTTTTAAATCTCACATAAGCAAGTAATATGAATTAGCGCATATTGAGATATGTCCGACAACATGATCATAATCAGATAAGACAAATCAACAATATATTTGCTCGCTTGCAATAATTCATAGAAAAAAAAAGAAGAAAACTGTCTGTGTTACTTTCTATGACCTTCAGTGCATATAACATATATTAGGGGGGAAAGATGAAATGCTAGAAGTAAGTGCCGGAATGAATATAATCAAGGATGATTGTAGTCAATATTTTTCCTGTTCCTTCAGTATGTATAAATCTTCTAGTGCTCGAAGAAATCAAATCTAAATTTTATAGTCATCATGTATGTATATACATGTATATTTACTACTGTTTCTTTTCATTTTCACCTTTCTCCTTCTCTCATATCAATAGAAAACCTTGCCACAAATATTCCATAAATAATATGTGTTTTTATTTTTGTCAGCTACTTAATCATAATAAAAAAACGAAAAGCGCAAGTGAAAAGAATTTGAGATATTATGACGAGAAAAAATGATTACTATATATTTATATATCTTACAATATTTACTGATTAGATTCTTGTTCCTTGTTTTCATGTTTAGTCAATACTGCCGAGATTTAATCGTGTCTTATTACACGGTTATATCAAGCAAAGTTAATAGGAAAGAAGAAGCTGCATATCATATACTTCGTCTAATAATTAAATAAAAATTTAAAAAATCGGATTGAATTCTGTGAAACGTGAACTTGTTCGTTTAAATCGATGTTACTCAAGTAAAATTTCAAAACAAATAATTTGCTCTTATCAAATTCGACTATTTTCTTACAGTATGTTTTTCTTCATCTGAAGTTATCGTTTTCGTCTTAAGATTTAATTTATTGTCGTAAATATTTTACTAACATTGGACAACACGTACATTACACACTTGAGATCTGTCTATTCCTTTTGTATTCTGTTCATTGATATACAGAAGGATGATAAAAATAAAAATATGCTTGAAATTTTCTTGTCTTACGTGACTTTTTACAAATTAAATCAAATAATAATGAAGTCATATTTACCTGTCGATTGCCTTCTCTTTAAATTTGAATATAATAAAAAAATTGATATGAACAATGAATATGAGAAGTAGTCAATTTGATTTATTGGTCTCAACTGCTTCTCATTTATACATACAAAAGAGAAGACGAAACGAAAATGTATGCATACTAGCAGTATAACTAAGTCTCTAACGTCCTTCGCAAAGTATACTGAGTCGTTATAAAACAAGCATTATGTCTACAATTATGCATTGAATCGAATGTGACAAACGAACTAGGTTTTGTTTCTTCTCTTGTATTCCTTTCCTTTGCCCGCAAACTATACTACATTATTTAGAATAACGTAAGAGAAATAGTTGAATTATTCGTGCGACCATTTGTTGTCATTTCATCATAAGTCAATATTGAATTTAGCTTATCGTTGTTCAATTAATCATACAGCTGTATTTTTGTTGCTGTTGTTGTTGTTTTTTATATCCTTTTTCTATCAAATTATATAAAGATTACCTAAACTTTCGTCGTAACACTAACGCTCATTTTTGGTTACTCTTATGTCATTAAAATAGAATAGTTTCGGCGATTTCTTCTTCTTCGTTTTCAATCCATTTGTTGAATACTTCATTTTATATAACATAATTATAAGACAATCATTATCCTTTTAGTGATAAAGTTATATCGAACAACGACAACAAGAACAAATATCGATCAATATAGAGAAAGATATCCAATATCATTCGATATCTGTCTACAATATAGACTTACCGTCGATCGAACAGGATCAAAATAGCCATTCTTTCGCGAAGTAACAAATATAATCGCCGATGGTGATTTGAGAGAAGCAAATGTACGTAGTATTGCATCAGCATAACTGTCAATCTCTATTGGAAAACCACCATTAAACAAACGTGGCATATCTTGAATAAACAAACAATTAAATGTGTATTTTGATATTTATTGAAAATAATTAATTAATTATTTCAGTAGAATCACCAAATCGAATTCAATTTAATGGTCTTCCTATAATAAATAGCGGAGTCTTTTCAAACTTACGATACGTTCAATGTGACGAATAAGAATTCTTGAACAAACAGTTTCTCTTCTCTTGAGAAACATATTAATGTGCATATAATGGTCTTCTCTTTACATAGCTTTGTGTTTATCGACTGCATGAAACATCGTTACTTGTTAACTGAATTATATACGGTTGACTACTTAGCATAGACATGAATATACATATTCATGTAGTGATAAGACAAAAATAAAGATGATCATGCAAGTGTGTATGTGCGCACAAGATGATGATTATCGAGTCTCGTCTTCTCCAATCTCAAGCAAATGATATTGGCATGAATGCAATACGATTGCGAGACGGTGAGAAAAAGTCAATGAACGTGTCACAAGTGATATGTACTGAATCATAAAACAGATTACATGCTTTACTCGTGTTGACACGATAGAGCTTTTGTGTATAGAATGACTTTTACCGTGCAATAAATGAATAAAAACGTAAATTAATTCTTTTAATCACCTTATATGTTTAACAATAGGTCACGCGTTTTTTATTTTTTTTTAAATAGAATTTCGAATCTTTTGCTTATAATCATATCTATTGCGTGCGTTAGATTGGTTTCTTAGATTTATGTAATATCAGCAGGTTGTCATTTTTTTTTTTTAGAAATTTAACCTTCTGTTCGAAATACTCATTTTATATAATTACATAAAGCATTTACATAGTTTCGTACTATAAAATCTAATTGAACAATTTGTTCTTAGCACCTGTCAACGAACAAGAGATCTTAGAGCAAGACGATAAGACTCATAAAAATGTCAGTCTTTACACCGACTATATAATAGTACATGATAGATTTAACATGTGTTGGCCGACAACTGTTCTTAGTTCTCGCTATTGTTACATGTAAAGAGCAAGAGGTTTTAATCATTAGATTAATTAGCTTAAGAATGAATGTATGTTTACCACGCGGACGTTTTTTGTGTCTGAAAAGACTAATTGAAGAATAAATTCTAATGATTCAGGTCCTATAAAATATAGAATAAAAATAAAAGGTAGAAACAAGGGTAAACAGAGACGATTCTCACACTCTTAAATAGGTCACGGTTTTCTCTTTTCTTCACCGTTAAACTCATCTCTTGATGATGATCTCTAAGAATCTGAATTACTATCAAAACCATCAGTTGCTATCACCATCAATAGTTTGTATAGATTTCTGAACAACACCTACCAATGTTGCCTGCTTATCTATTCATCTTCTTTAGATTTTCGAATATGATATTTTCTTAAAGAAAATTAAAAATCATTGCTTATGAATCCACTGCATTGTCTACATCTTTTGATGGACATTTGTTTTTCGTAATACCTAAATATAATAATTTTCTCGTGAAATAAATTATTCCACTAGAACCTTCTGTTGTTAGATGTAGACATGACTTTTAATAGCCAACAGGTAGTGATACAACAAACAAATGCGTCTATAAATATCGTTTCACGGTAGATTATATTATCGGAACCTGAAGCTTTGACTCTGATTTTTTCCGTTCGAATGCTTGATAAAGAATAATTCGAAGAGTAAAAGAAAAACAAAACAATTAATCACTATGATCAAAGTGAACCAAACTTGATAGAACTCACAAAGTTGTTTTAAACGACTTCATTAGTTTGAATAATGTAACAGTGAACAATAAAACTTCCACGCACTGTAAGAAATTTAATAAGACATTAATGATCCACTCCGTTTTATCAGCGTGCCATACCATTCATACTATGATGATTACATAAGATACATCCGATTTTAGGACAAATCGCGTTTTCAGTGCAACTGTAAAATTAAAAAGAAACTGAGCTAACAGATATTATTAACATAACTTCAAAAGAACTTTAATGTTGTTTGTACCCGAAGTGGCCGTAGCAATATCGATCCAACCATCTTTATTGAAATCACCAGCAATAACCGATGCTGGGCGAGATTTATAACTAGTCAAATATGAGATTTGATTCGAAAATGTACCATCTTCGTATCCTTGAAATATACAGTCCTCTGGGGTAATTCGGATCAAAATTTTGAAAATTCATTTTGTTTTTGTTTCTTCTCAGTCATCTTGCATTGTACAATGGTGATTTTTTTAACACTACTAGTTCAAAGTGTTCTCTGTCGAATCACGAAAGAATCATCAAAAAATATTATACCGGTAAAAAGTATCAGTCAAATTGGTAAAAGTAGTGTGGAGCTGATCCGAGTTACCCCACATGGAGTAATTCGGATCACTACAGCAAAACTGACTGGTCTCATTTTTCCCATCTTCTAACCTTTTGTTTTTATTCGAACTTGAGAAAAGTAAATGTACCATTCCGATACCCGTAAGTGTCCTCTATGGGCCCTGAAAATATCTCGACGGTTGAAGCGACAGTTGTAATATAATACTCACGACAAGGACACCTTTATCAATCAATTGAAAATCTATCTGGGGTAATTCGGATCACTCCAGCTATTTTCTGTGGTAACCACTTTTGAAACCTCTACCGTTTCTATAATGCAAAATCGATGGCTGGACCCTCAAGAATAGTTGTTCGTCTCGCTGTTCTCTACATGGTCCTACAAAAAAAAACACTATTTCAAACCACTGGTAACGTTTTAGACTAAGTAATGTATTTACACAAAAAAGTTTACTTTTCTGATGTACCCCGTCTGTCTTTTATTGAGTATCGCAACTGAAAACAAGGTTCTAGAAAAAATACGTTGGGTACCTCTGACGTAGAAATGTTTGGGCTACAAAATGGTATGCAGAGATCAACGGGAAACACTGATCACTATTTGAGATATGGAGAAAACTAATATAATATTCTGAATCAGCATGCACAACTGAGTGCACACACATATATTTCAATTGTTTTTTTTTTAAACTTTTGTTGTGATCCAAAAATTAAGTCCTGGTACCCACAGGGTTCTAGAAAAACAAATAACTTCCAAGCAACTGTTGTGCGGTTCGTCTAACGTGAATTTTGCGCGATTATGATATTATAAACCTTCAACACGTTCCCTAGACTGAAAGGATAGGATCAAGAATTCGTAATTCACCTGTGTCTGTCTGTCTGTAACAATGGCACGAATGACCATTTTTATGGTACAATTGACCATTTACTGTAGAAAATCAAGTCGCATGAAGTGTATAAATAAGACGATTCGTTCGTCTAAACAAGACACTTAGGGTCATTTCTGCCCAGGTCGAGCAATCCGACAGTAGGCACCTATCGGAACCCATCTGATCCGACTGGAATCTAATAGAATTGTATCGTATTGTAGGATATTTCCAGGTTCCTATCGGATCCGATGTCGGATCAGTCGACCTGGGGCACTATATGAAACATCTATTTTTTTTCTTTTATATTATGACTGTACAAAGACGCATTTTACCTTTCTTATTTTCCAATCTTGGTCAAAACGAAAATTTTATCTTTGATTTTTTGTTTTTCCGTATGAATTATTTAGAACATTGTATTTTTCGTTTCTCAGTTTTTTCGATACATCGATGAAACAATTGAAAAAAATATTCATTCTTTTTGTATGTTGTTCATATAGCAAAAGACATTTCCGATTGCTTGTTTTTCCTTCTCGGCAGAAGACACAATTTAATGTTATATCTGTTGTTGTTGTGTATGAACTATATTGGAAATGGTAGTTTTCGTTTTTATTTATTTTTTATACATTAAAAAAACAATTGAAAAAATATTCATTGTCTTTTTGTGTTATTCGTAATGGAAAAACATTTTTGGTTTCTGGTTTTTCTGTATTAAAAATTTTATGCCATATTGCTTATTTTTCTCGATTGGTTAAAGAGAATTTTATGCGATATTTTTTTGTTTTTCCGTATGAATCATTTAGAAAATTGTCCTTTTTATTTGTGATAGTTTTTCAGTCAATAATGCAAGAGATGAAATTTTTTTTCTCTTTGTAGGATATTGTTACTATTGTAAAGAACGGCGTCAAATTCGTATTTTGCTATATATAAAAGAGAAAGCAGTATTTTTTATCTTATTCTCGTGTATGAATTGTGAAGAGAAGTGTTTATTTCATTTCGTGTATTTTTTTATAATGAAACAGAAAGCAGAAAAAAGGATTGGTTGTTTTTTATTAGTACCTGGAAAGGTATTTACAATTCGAGTTATTCGTTTATTGATTAAATTGAAAACAGGACTTTTTTATATTTGGTCTTTCTTCATTGATTCAATAGAAATTTAATCAAATGAACAGTTAGTTTTATTTTATTTTTCATATGCAACTCTCTTATCAACAAATATCGAAGTCCATTTATTCTCACATGCTGTTTGAAGGGAACATATTCATTCCGCTAATTCAGTCAATTTCGCTTATCAATTCTGCTTCATATTTTGAAAGTTTTTCACTTCTCGCCAAAAATAGAATCGGGTGTAGAGCTTCCAAATGAGATAATTACTCCAATTGGAAAAACTGTGAAGTAATTTCATTCAGTAGCTATTGTAATCATTTCATATTTAGCAGTCTAATATTGGATATAAGGTATCAATGAAAAAAAAGATCTTTTTTTAATGCTAGACCAACATAAAGTTTATTATATATGAACATTTACAATGTGACGCTTATCTATTATCTAAATTTAAACTAATTCATTTGTCCATAAGAAACAGCAGATCAATGACGAGCAGCACCACGATGACGTGCGCTGGCACGAGATATATCCAAATGCGAGGCATCACCCAGGTCTAACAGTCACGCCTGGAAACGGCCGGTTCCGGATAGTTCCGTTGATTTTGTGGAAGCAGTATTCTGGTTGGAAAATTTTCAGATTTTTTTCCGGTGATATCCGATCAATTCCTGCCGGAGAAGTCCGGCCATATTTTTGACCGGAATACTGCTTCCATGTTCCAGCGATTTCCCGTGTTTCCCTGCAGGATATGGTGACTTTTCTCGCATATTCCCTGGAGTATCCTATGGGATCCGGTGACCGACATGTTCGACCTGGGCAGTACGCGACATACGAAGACGAGAGCTATTAATAAGTGGAGCACCAATATTAGATGTAATGCATCGAGATGTATCAACACGACCGACATTATAAGCAACACCACTACCAATTCGAGCACGAACGCCACAACCGGTTCGAGAAGCAGCAGCACCACCACCATGATAAACATTAGCGCCGACACTGGTAACACCGCCAACTGCACTTTGATCAGAATTATCTAAAATAAAAAAACAAGTTTAAATCCAATATGTTCTTTACAAGAATAATCCTAAATATTGAAACTTACTGTTTACACGTTCTACAATTTGCTGCAGATATGTTATTAACACGTTCAAATGTTCAATTTCTCCTTGAAATTTCTCGAGTTGTTGTTTTAGTGCGAACACGTTCTGGTCTCGTTCATACAATTATTCCTTTAATTGACTTATTTGTTGCTTTTGCTGTAACTAAATATAGTACGCGCCAATTGGTGGTGGTGGCGGCTGCGGCTGTTGTAGCTGTAGCTAAACAACATTGTTCAGGTTGTTCTACAAAAAGAAAAGATTAAAGATCGAAAATTTTGTTTTAAAAAACTATTGAATTTTTTTTTTGAGTCGAATCATGAGCAGACGACTATTACGGTTTATGAGTACAGGCAAACAAAAGAAACTGAACGGAAGATGCAGTTCTCCTGCTCCTACTTGGATATTTAAAATATTTTGTAAAGAGAACATCGCAAGAATATATCTCCAAAGTAAAGACCTATAACTTTTCCCAATCACAAAATGTAACATCAAACTTTGTTAAATCGCTAGAATTAAAGAAATTTTTACATAGGCAGGATTATGAAACAATTCGATGCACAAAAGATCAAAAACAAATATGACTCAAAATGGCCATGGAGCACACGTGAAAGGCTTCAGATCAAATCCTACTTTTATTATGCCATATTACGTAAAGATGTTTTTTTTCTTGATCTTCCCACATTTTTTTTCTTTAAAAAACAAAATACAAAGTTGTGATAATGGAAAACAATAAGCAATCGCCCGACTTTTATCAAGAAGAAAATAAACGAAACAAGAAAGAAACAATCGAGCTGCAAGGTAAGACTTGAATGCACTAATCACATTTTGAGCGTGGCCTCTTCTCATTCACTCAATGGCGCACTCTGTTGTTATGCGTATTAATACAGGGTGTACCAAACTTATAGACCCCTCTATACTCAAGACAGAAAAAATAGCTTTCTGTCTTACACATGAGCCTAGTTATTGAGTTGATGATACGTTCATTCAACACATACACATACATGATGTATTAAGATGTGATTACTGCTTTTTCTCTTCTCTTTGACACGTGTAAAAATGGATAGAAAGAAAGAGATGCTGTGCCATAATTATAGACCCCTTTCATTCTTAATGCATTTTTTCGTTCGGATATGTTCGAAGTTAGTTTGTTTATTATATATTGATCGTCTATCCAGTACATTATAGTTTGTAAGAAAACGAATGGGAAGAAAGGCTGTTAGTATTGATACGAAGAAGGGAATCATACTTTTACGCGGCACTGACATGTCCCAACATGGAATTTCAAGGAAATTAAATGTTTCTCGTCATTGCGTGCGTCAAACCATTCGCAAGTTCAACAAGCTTCATACCACACCTACAAAATGTGGAGCGGGACGTCGTTCCAAAGTAACACGTCGTCAAAAATGCGCCATCAAAGTTCAACAACTTCGCGACTATACTCTTTCATTGAATGATCTCGTTTGGTATGCTCAAACAAGTTTGAACTTAAATATCAGTCGTCAAACAGTGAGCCGTATCCTACATGAATTCTGAACGATTTCAACCCCGGATACATCGAGGTGGTGGTCTTGAAATTTGGTCTTATATTACATACAATGACTTGGGACTGTTAGTTTTTTTCAACGGACGTTTAAATTCAGATAAATATATAGAGGTACTAAAAAAACAACTTACCCACAGCGTTTGAAAAATTTTCATTTGAACAATCGAGTAAAATTTTGTATCAATAAGATAACGCTAGCCCTCATACGTCTGCTAAAACATCCAAATATTTCAAGAAAAAGCATATCAAACTGATTCCATGGTCACCTCGGAGCCCCGACCTTAATATAATAGAAAATATATGGTCCATGGTCGATGAAAAATTATTGAAACATAGCATTAACAACACGACACAACTGGAAGAAGCACTGAAAATCGTTTGGACAGGAATTTTGAGAAAGATGTGATAAGAAAACTGTTTCAATCCATGCCGACTAGACTTCGTCAAGTTATCAATCGTAAAGGCTATGCCTGTTGTTATTGAGTTTTGCGTTTGTTAAACAAAACCATGCAAAACAACAGAGAAAAATAATAAAGAATGAAAGGAGGTCTATAATTATGGCACAGCATCTTTTTCTTTCTATCCATTTTTATACGTGTCGAAGAGAAGAGAAAAAGCAGTAATCACATCTTAATACATCATGTATGCGTATGTGTTGAATGAACGTATCAACTCAATAATTAGGCTCATATGTAAGACAGAAAGCTATTTTTTCTGTCTTGAGTATAGGGGGCGGGGTCTATAAGTTTGGTACACCCTGTAGAATGAGGCGCTAGCTACTCGTGTATATATGTCAAATGTACGTGATTGTAAGAAGGATACTTACTTGTACACGACGAACAGTCTATATAAAAATTTCTATAAATTTAACGATTTAGTAAAATTACATGTAACCGTTTTCATCATGAAAATAGGTTAGATATGTGGATTTAGTGGAATGTCACGAGTTATTTTATGTTAATCTCATTTTAACGTATTTTCACCATTAGAAAGGTAAGATGAAATTGTGTTAAATCTTCAAATTGATAGACACTTTTATATGGGAGTATTTCTAACAGAAATCTGAGTGAAAAAGCTCAATTGTATTGTAATTGCCTAAGCAAAAAGAGAAAACTGATACTCTATTTTAACAAATTAAACGACATGTCACAAAATGATCAAGTTATAGATCGTTATATTTAGATTTAACCGACAAATCTTTTCGATGAGTTTTGCAAGATAATACTCATTCAAATGGCAAACGGACAACATATCTAGTATCTGATAACATTCCGTGAACAATGCTTTCACCTATCATATTTTATACACAAGTTTTGAAAATCTTTAGTATTTAAAGCATAAACTAATAATGCACAGAAAAATCGAAGTCACACATCGATCCAATCGTTGAAAATAAATTCCAATTACAATAAAAAGAACATTAAATTGAACCACAATCATTGCTGACGAAAACTTTTGTAGCTATTTCCACAGTGAATGAATTGTATTGAATAGACTGACTGACGTCTAAACTTGCTCTGGAATCTTTCATAATTTCAATACGTTACAATTACAACAAACTACTCTTCTACGTTCAGCCATACCAAAGTGTTATAAATTAGGCAATTTTCATCAATACAAGAATCACATGTGATATAACTAGTGGGTATTATGAAAATGCGTTAAAATTTTGGATTTACTGAAGCGTAATGCATATTTTCCTGTTAAAATGGGATTAACGTGAAATAACTCGTGAGATTCCACTAAATCCACATATTTAACCTGTTTTCATGATGAAAACGGTTACATCTAATTTTACTAAATCGTTAAATTATAGAAATTTTTATATAGACTGTTCGTCGCGTACAAGTAAGTATGCTTCATACAAGCACGTACATTTGACATATATACTCTACTGCCACATTTATAAAGTAAGTTTAGCTGGAGAAAAAGTCGTTACCCGGTGTAACGGGATTATGACATCACTCACTATTTCGTGTGAGAGTAAATAAACTTGCTATTAGTGCGTTGAGATTTCGATGATACGCATATACATGTATATATAAAGTATTGAATATGCAGAATAATCCTATGTATCGCTGTAGTATTCTCGTATTTTCTCGATCTTGTGCAGATGACATATCAGCTTAACGGTTATTTGTATATTATTTACTAACTCGTTTGTTTCTTTATTGTGTTATTATTATCTGCATATTTATTTTATAGCAAGTAGATTAAGTGAACCCAGCGATATTGTTCTGCAGCTGATAATATTTTTTATGCTTTTGGGCGACTTTTATTAGCCAATGCACATTATGCTAGATTCAATGCGGGACTTGATGAGGAAAGTCGATTCTGTATTGTATATAGTTGTATAGGATTCGTAAGTGCACTATTAAAAACAAGTTTCTTTTTGAACATTGAAATGTATATGATGATTTCTGTCATAATAATTTAGAGCAAATTTTGTCCTCTGCTTTTTTATCCTTTCAAAATTTAATAACAGACTCGTGAGGATACATCTTTAAGAAAAAGCTTGTTAGCGCAGGCACTTTAGGGCTAAAATGTGGAACTCACATATATCCCTTCGACTTACTAAAATAATTCAAAATACTTCATCTGAAAAATCTACCCTGATTTCCAAAACGCCTATAATTAGGTCATTGCCTATTTGCTTATGTCTGTAATGGAGTATTAATTGGTAGCTCTCATATTTAGCAATGGCGTAGACTAGTTACTATGGTCTGTAATGGGCAAGCTTTGGTTTTTTTCATGTAGTCTGTAATTAAAAAAGGAAGAAATAGCAGCCTAATTAGCACAATTTTAAACTCGTTAATGTCTGTAATGGGGAGGGGCGGGGAGCCGCAAAAAATCTCGCTTTTAAGCTGGCACTCACCATTTTCTTCGAAAATATATGTGAGTTCCACAAAATAGCAATCAAGCAATTGTTTTAACTAACAATTATATGCACTGAGTAAAAACAAAATCGCGTGTTTGTATACATGGGATCGATTTTTACACTGAGTTTTATTACTATTAGTTTTCTCTCCATAAGAGGTACATAATCTCGTCCGTTTTTATTGAATTACTCTGACGTCAAAGTAAAATTGTTGGTTAATTTTACACTGTTGATATGATCAAGCCAGGTAGTTGTACACAAACTACTTTCTTTTTGTGAAACACGACCTGAAAGGAGTGTTGAAGTGTTTAGGGTAGAAATTTGCATCCCCCTCCCCCCACAGACCGTTACCGACAGGTAATTCCCCCATCACAGACCGTTACCGACAGGTGATTCCCCCACCAGAGACCGTTCGAGATCGGTGAAGCAGAGTTCAAGGGCTAAGACAAGAATTTGAATTCCTTCCAAAACATTTTAATTAATTAGCTAATTACAGTCTAATTAATGAATTAATCTTCACAGACCTTGAGAGAAAAGCTTTGGATCCATCGCAAACGGTATTAGAAATGCAGGGAGAATAGAGAGGTGGAGCAATGACTATGATGCACCTCAACAGTTACGTCGTGTTTCACATTTAAATCCCGAAGAGATTGCGCTAACAGCTTTTTTCAAAAGACAGCATCTCTGTAAAATACAACCACAAGAAATTCATGTTTTCTGCAGATGAAACATTTTTTTCACTTAATTTTAAGTGAATTAAGTGTTAACGCGAAAAGCTTAATACTTAATATTTACAATTAAGTGTTAGACCTCAAACAGACCAAAAAAATAAAACAGAATTAAGCAACGTGATTGGTTAATTCAGACTTAAGTCATCTTTTTGAGAAGATTTAGTGGTTAATTCTGTTCTATCTTTTTGGTCTGTTTGGGGCCTTACGTTAACACTTAATATTAAAAATTAAGTGGTTAATGCAAACACTTTTTATTAATATTAAGTGTTAAGTAAAATCACTTAATTAACTCCAATTAATATTAACGGTTCACCCCTACTTAACAGTACAGGTTTTTAAAGCTCCAGATTTTGAGAATATTTCGAAACACTTATAGCCCTAAACACAGTATTAAGAAAACTTTTGGTGGCATGTCAAAATGTATCGATTCGTATGGATTGTAAACAGAAATAAACGTGATGGATACTTTTGTCTTCGTCTACTCTAGGTTCATCATGTTTTGCTTTTTAATTCTTTGAGAATTTACTAACATCTTTGTACAGGACAACTCTGCAGATCATTACGGTTTGGATGCAGAATTTAACTCAAATATTCGTTTATTACGTTTAAGAGAAAGATGTTCAATTTGTCTTTGGGCTACACTGTAAAAAAAAAAGGTAGAATAATAAACCCTTTAAGGGTTTATGAAAGTGCAACGTAGACTAAACCCTTTTTACTGTATGTCAAAATTTTCATAAACCCTTTCATAAACCCTTTTAAGGGTTTATGAGAGGGTATTTGATTTTTATATACTCTTTCATAAACCCTTAGAAGGGTTTATAAAAAGGTATTTGACTTTAATAAACCCTACAAGGGTTTAGTCTACGTTGCACTTTCATAAACCCTTAGAAGGGTATTTGATTTTTATATACGCTTTCATAAACCCTTCCAAAGGGTTTATTACTTATATCTACCAGATTAAAATTAAGGTTTTGGAACTTACTGCGTTGTCCTAGGTTCGATCATGAGATGAATTGGTTGATAGTCCAAGATGTTATCCATTCGGTCAGTCGTATGATATCAAGATGAAGTAAGAAATGCTACTTAAATCAAACAAAATTTTATAGGAAACTGAAGATGATATAAAGTTAAGCGGAACAATTGCTATTACATTTTTAATTTTCATGA